GTACTGCTGAGAAGAATGTGTATTCTGATGTTGTTGGGTAGAACATTCTGTATATGTCTATCTAACCCATTTGTTCACAAGTGTGATTCAGTTCTGTTATTTCTTTGCTCATTTTCTGTCTGGTTGATCTGTCCCTTGGTGTCAGTGGTGTATTAAGGTCTCCTGTTACAATTGTGTTACTGATAATTTGAGCTTTCATTTCTGTTAATAATTGTTTTATATAACTGGGTGCTCTGGAGTTTTGTGCGTATATATTTAAGATAGTTATCTCTTCCTCTTGGAGTTTTCCCCTTACGAGTATGTAGTGACCTTCTTTGTCCTTTATGGTCATTGTTGGTTTAAAGTTCATGTTGTCTGCAAACAGAATGGCTACTCCTGCCTTTTTTTGGATTCCTGCTGCATGAAGAATTGTTTTCCATCCTTTGACTTTCAGTCTGTGAGTATCCTTCTGGGTTAGATGGGTTTCCTGTAAACAGCATATGGTTGGATTTTGTTTCTTGATCCATTCTGCTAGTCTGTTTCTTTTGATTGGTGCATTGAGACCCTTTACATTAATGGTTAATATTGTTAAATGCTGGTTAATTGTAGGAATGTTATCTCTCTGCTGTTGCATCTTTATCTTTCTGTTCTGTTTAATTATTTGCTTTGCTTAGTGTTTTTTTCCTTTGTGTATGTAAACTGTCTTTCAATATTTTTTGCAGGGTTGGTTTGGTGTTCATGAAGTTCTTCAGCTGTTCTTTGTCATGGAAGTATCGTATTGCACCATCTATTTTGAATGATAGTTTTGCAGGATATATCAGTCTTGGTTGGAAATCATTTTGCTTTAGGATCTGGAATACTTCACTCCATGCTCTTCTTGACTTTATCATTTGTGCTGAGAAGTCTGCTGTGATTCTGATAGGTTTTCCTTTATGAGTGATCTGTCTTTTCTCTCTGACAGCTTTTAATAATCTATTCTTGTTTTGGATTTCTGGGATGGTGATTATTATATGTCTGGGTGTAGTTTTATTTTGGTTATGACTATTTGGAGTTCTATATGCTTCACTGATCCTGATGTCAGTTTCTGATCTCATGCTTGGGAAATTTTCAGCTATTACTTCTCTAAATATCCTCCTGACATCCTTCATGTTGTCTCCCTCTCTTTCATTAATCCCTATCATTCTTATGTTATTCTTCTTTGCATCATCTTGCAGTTGTTGAATTGTTGTTTCCTGATTCCTTGTTATTTTCAAAAGATCTTTCCTTTCCTGTTCACTAGCTGCAATCCTGTCTTCAATGTCTGAAATTCTATCTTCACTTTCATTAAGGCGGTTTTTACAACTTTCAGTGGAGGTTTTTATTTCCTGTATATCTCTGTGCATCTGCATTTGTATTCTGTTTGTTTCTTATATTGCTCGTCTAGGGATTCTATCTTTTTGTTTAGTTCCTCCAATTTTTTATCTGTGTTTTCTTTAGATATATTTAGAATCTCTTTCATTTCTTTTATCATTTCTTCTTTTATCTGGGAGATTATTTCGAGTTTGAATTTCTTTAAAGCTTCCTGGAGTTGCTTGTCAATTTCAGTGGCTATTGTGTCCAATATATGAGGTGGATGGGATATATTTTCTTCTATATACATCACTCCTAGGGTTTCTTGAGATGGGCTGGAGGTTTGAGGTTGTAATTTGTTCTTTCGTTTTGTCATTTTCCTATATTTCTGTGTTTCAAGTGTTATTTGAAAGCTTCCTCAGGATCTGTTGAAAATCGCCTTCTATGTTTGGAGCTACTGAGACTCTGGCACCGCGCTACCCCAAGCCATTGGGCCTACAGAACCAGTGGCCCTCCTCTGCCTGCTCAGAACTCCGCAGTTCCAGACAAGCTGGGCCTCAGGGGACACTGTGCACCCACCTGGCCCTTGGAAGCTCCACAGTTCTTCAATCGCAGCCGGGTTAGGGTACTCACCACAGGCCGCAGTGCTTCAGGAACCTGTGGACCCTCCCTGGTTGCAGAGATATCCACAGTCCTCCAGACACATGGAGAGGCCGATGCAGGCACCCCAAATCTGCCCAGCTGCTCCTCTGCAGACCAATGGCCAGGCGCATCAGCTAAACAGGCTGGGCTAGGCTGATAGTATGGGCCCGCCCACCCGTTGGTAGCTCAGCAATTCTCCAAGTGTAACCGGAATGGGGAGGCTGATGTGGAAGGCTCAAACCCACCTCTCCCCTTCACTGCACCTGGAAGCCTGGGGGACCTCCAGCAGTCTGGGAGGAGATATCCAGAGTCCTCCAGACATGCAGAGAGGCCGGCGAGGGCACCCCAGATCTGCCCAGCTCCTCCTCTGCAGACCTATGGCCAGGCGCGGCAGCTAAACAGGCTGGGCTAGGCTGGTAGTGTGGGCCAGCCCACCTATCGGGAGCTCAGCAGGTCTCCAAGTGAAGCCGGAATGGGGAGGCTGATGTGGAAGCCTCAAACCCACTTCTCCCCTTCACTGCACCTGGAAGCCTGGGGGAACTCCAGCAGTCTGGGAGGAGATATCCAGAGTCCTCCAGACATGCAGAGAGGCCGGTGAGGGCACCCCAGATCTGCCCAGCTCCTCCTCTGCAGACCTATGGACAGGCATGGCAGCTAAACAGGCTGGGCTAGGCTGATAGTGTGGGCCCGCCCATCCGTCGGCAGCTCAGCAGGTCTCCAAGTGAAGCCGGAATGGGGAGGCTGATATGGAAGCCTGAAACCCACCTCTCCCCTTCACTGCACCTGGAAGCCTGGGGGAACTCCAGCAGTCTGGGAGGAGATATCCAGAGTCCTCCAGACACGTAGAGAGGCCGGTGAGGGCACCCCAGATCTGCCCAGCTCCTCCTCTGCAGACCTATGGCCAGGCGCAGCAGCTAAACAGGCTGGGCTAGGCTGATAGTGTGGGCCTGCCCATCCGGCAGCTCAGCAGGTCTCCAAGTGAAGCCGGAATGGGGAGGCTGATGTGGAAGCCTGAAACCCACCTCTCCCCTTCACTGCACCTGGAAGCCTGGGGGAACTCCAGCAGTCTGGGAGGAGATATCCAGAGTCCTCCAGACATGCAGAGAGGCCGGTGAGGGCACCCCAGATCTGCCCAGCTCCTCCTCTGCAGACCTATGGCCAGGCGCGGCAGCTAAACAGGCTGGGCTAGGCTGGTAGTGTGGGCCAGCCCACCTATCGGGAGCTCAGCAGGTGTCCAAGTGAAGCCAGAATGGGGAGGCTGATGTGGAAGCCTCAAACCCACCTCTCCCCTTCACTGCACCTGGAAGCCTGGGGGAACTCCAGCAGTCTAGGCGGAGATATCTAGAGTGTTATGTTTCTTATGGAAGAGTATGGCTGTTTCTCTTAATGTTGAGTCTACTCTTAGAGTATGATCAAGTGTCTTAGTTTCTTTCACATGCTGAGATCCAGTACCCAAGAACTAGGAGTTAAGTAAGAAAAGATAGGATTCGGGGTATATCTTAGTGGCACAAGCACCTGCCAGAAAGCACAAGGTGCTGACTTTGATTCCCACTACAAAGAGAGGGAGAGAGAGAGAGACAGAGAGAGAGAGGAGAGAGAGAGAGAGAGAGAGAGAGAGAGAGAGAGAGAGAGAGAGACAGAGAGAGACAGAGAGAGACAGAGAGAGAGACAGAGAGAGAGACAGAGAGAGAGAGACGGAGACAGAGAGACAGAGACAGAGAGAAAGAGACAGAGAGAGAGACAGAGAGAGACAGAGACAGAGAGAGACAGAGACAGAAAGAGAGACAGAGAGAGACAGAGAGAGAGAGAGAGAGAGAGAGAGAGAGAGACAGAGAGAGAGACAGAGAGAGAGAGCGCAACAGAGGGGCAAAAGAAAAGGTTTATTTTAGTTCAACAGGTTGGTTGGCTCCAAGAAATCCCAGATAGCAGTTGGGGCATGGGAGAGGCGAAAATTCTGTGACATCGAAGCAAGGAGAAATAAATGGAAGAGGAGGGAGACATACCCTTTCAGGTAGGATGCATAGTGACTCACCTCTTCCCTCCAGGCTTCAATTCCCAACATCACTCCCAGCTGTATACCCATCGGGGAAGCATCCAGCAACAAGTGTCATATACCCATGATCCAGCAACCACCCAAGATACAGCCCTATGAATGTATAAAGTTATAAACCATAACTCCAATTATCTATATACCATAAAAAATGAAAAAAATGTTCATATAAAAATATTTACCTGAATACTTATGCCTGTACTATTCATAACCACTCCAAACTGAATTAGCACCAGTGTACATAATGAAGGGATAAACAAATAATAGGGAATCTGTTCTATGGAACTCTACTCAGTGAATAACTAAATTCTATGTATGTTATCATGTATGGGCATGTAGAGACTTACACAGAAGGAAAGCAACCCTTTTCAAAATATTACACATTACATGAATGCTAACGGGACATCCTGCAAAATACAAAATTGCAGAATAATAAAGTTTGCCAGTTGTATCCATGAAAAGTTTGTGGGAGAATCCGATCACAAAGGAACAGCGGGAATTTTTATTTGTGTAATGGAACCATTACATCGCTTGTGTACAGTGGCTATAGAAATCAAACCATTAATTGAAGATCATACTGATATTAAATGCAGCAAATTTGTCACATATGTTAAGAAAGTGCCCTCCAAAATAAATTGTGATGAAAACCCAGGATGGAATAACTGTGTCAGAGGATAAAGAACGGGGTGATGCTGTAAGAATATATTACAAGCGTAATTCCCACACAGGAATCTGAGGAATGAGACTGGCACACTTGTTTATTCCTGAATGTGATACTAGTTTGGACAACTGAGAACACTTTGATTGTTTTGCTATTTGAAACATTGTAATTTGATTTTTTTTTTTTGTCTTTTTCCTTTTTATCGATACCGGAGATAGAACTCACGACTCCCTGCTTGCAAGGCAGGTGCTTATGCCGCTGAGCTAAAACTCCAGCCCCGGTAATTTGATTTTTATGTGTGTCATTTCATAACCAGATCAGATAACCCAAAGTACACAATAGGATTTAATCAATTTTATTGCTAGGATTGTAAAATATTGGAGAACCTGACCTGGGATAGGCAGTGCACATTTCCCTGTATAACTCTGTAATAAGGATTTGATTACAATACGTGCATGTTTTGATTTATATCTTATTTATATATTTGTATTAATCAGAGCATAAGCAACAATTGCGTTACACTGCAATGTAATATTTGATAACAATTTATGAGGGAAATTAAATGATTGGAAGAGTAGTGGAAAGACTGAGTAAAACAATGTGCTGTAGTACATCCATGCCATGACGAATGTTTCAGCCCTCAGTAATCTTTAGGGGATATTATGTAAGCACAACCACAGTGAGAGGAGAGTTAGGGTCATCATTAAGCTTCCGGCTCCTTAGATAGTGGACAGATATACAGATGTCCCGAATCTTTGAACCAAAGCCTGAAGAAAGGTCTCAGGGATCCATAAAAAGCACCTTGAGAAAAGGTGTAGATGTGGCTGTTGTCTTCCATGTTGTAGAAGGAGATACGCTGATCCTCGTAGTCTAAGAAAATGCAGATGGTGCAAGGGTGCTGTTTTAGAGTGAGTTGAGTCTCTGGCGAGGTGAGTGCCCAGTATTCATGGTTATACATTCTAATGGCCCAGAAACCATCCTCAGGTTTTATGTAAGTCCTCTCCTTCCTCATCACGTTACTCCGACAGATTCCCAGGTCCCAACCTGTACAGCTGTTGACCTTCACCTCCCAGAAGTGCCTCTCTGAGCTGAAGGACTGTTTGCCCAACACGCAGGGAAGGGATTCAAATCTCATCTGGTTCCTAGGAAGATCTTGAGGTTTCTCCCCCATAGAAACTTGTCTTTCTTCAGATAAGATGAGGGCAGGATGGGCTGTGTCTGGGTCCAGAGTCACATTTGCTGCAAAGGAGACCAACCTTTTAATCTCTCAGAAGACTGGAGTGATTTTGTAATTAGGATGGCTTTAAAACCTGAGATGTCTGGGAGCAGTGAGGAGAATATACTGCCCCAAGGCTCCTGTCATCTGTCCCATAGTAAGAGCTCCCCTGAGACTGTGCAGAGCCTGAGGAGTGTAGTCACTCTTGGATGGTCAGACTCACCAGCTTGGTAGTATTTCTTCCTCCAGTCTGAAAAGAGCAAAAATATATATTATTAGAAGTTACATTTCAATTTCTCACATGACAAAATTTTTTCCTTTAAAATTTTTTCTTTTGGTTGTTTTCATGTTTGGTAATTTCTCAAACTTATTCTGCACCTCTTGTTTGAAATGTGATTTCCGTTGTCCATCATTAAATGTTCATATAAAAATTAATAGCTCTGGTTTGTACGTCCTGTGGTGTAGACTGCAGATATAGATTAGGATATAGTTACATGATATAGTTACTCTCTTCCTGAGAAATAATGCAATCACACATTCTGCCATCAGCTTCCTCATACATTTATGTGGGAGAACTATCCCACTATGGCCAATGAACTATGCACGGTGGTCACTGTACAATTGCCACACCTGAGAGTAAACCAGGTGAGTTTCTCCATTCTTGCTCTTACTAAAACAGTGTCTTACCCCTGGTAGGAATGGGCTGTAAGTAAATTGGAGAGTGTAGAAGACTAGTGTATTAACAACTCCTAGTATTAAAGGCACCATTCTGAAGAGTTTCCAGGAATATTCAGGGTATTTAGATTATAATTTGTATGAGTGCAGAATACTTCATACTTGCACCTGACAACTGTGCTTAACTCCCTACTGAGTAAAATCAGTCCATGTTTTACAAAAATCATAATTAACAATGCCACAGAATTTATATGCAGGCTTAGAATGAAGTCCTGTATTGATTGCTTCCAATTTGTAGACTTGATTGAGTTTAGGCAACAGGAGAAGGAAAGCAGAGAAGGCTGTCTGCATATACAGTCGTCCATGACAGCAGCAAAGAAATCTTGTTAAAGCTGTATGTGTGATGTGGAAAGCAGATCATGTGGCAGTGTCACATTGTTTATCTAGAAAGAGGTTTTAGGGAATCACATTGTTGCTCCCTAAATGCAGTGCTGTGTGCAAGCGGCTTGGAAGGTCTGCATGGGAAAGCATCAGTACTTGGGCATGATGCCATTCAGTGAGGGTGTAATGGTACACTATTGAAGATAAATTATTTGTAACATAATTATTCACTTGATAAAAAATATGAACTCAATTAGACATGTCTATAGTTGAGTGATTTTCAGGCTGTATAAAATATTACTCTAGGAGTTATGTTATGAAAAAAAGCCAAAATCAGTTCCAAATCTTTTTCTGTAAATAGAATTGTGCTAGAACCAGTCACAGAAATTCATTCATTTATTGCCTATGGCTCTTTTCAAGCATCAGGGATAGAACTGACTAGTCGTGACAGGGACAATTAAACACATCATCCTTAAAATACTCATTATCTGCTTCTTCATACAGAATTTCTGCCGAATCTTTATAGACCAATCATAATAATAGACAAAGATAAAATACAGAAATGAATGCTGTAATTTGGTCAATGTATATAGTTACTTAAGGAATACAACAAATTGAGATGATAGATTTTACAGCCATAATGACAGCACCTGTACAGTGGGATATGAAAGAACATAAATCAGCTAGGCAAATGTGTCTGTATTGGAACTTTGGATGTCAGTGTTGATACATGACACTAACTGGATGTCTATAAAACTTGGATAAAGATGACTAAGCCTGCAAAATCATTTCCCCGAAAGACTAAGAGAATTAGTTTTTCAAAGATGAGCATTTTAGAGTTCAAGAAATTTAGAAAGTCACACATGAAACTCAGAAACACTAATGTAGGAAAAGTGTGATGCTTCACAGTAAATGCTGCTACTCTGGATGGTAGGTCCTGCTACAGTCCCTAAGTGCCTGATACTGACTTTACAAGGTCACAGCAAACCATGGATTTCAGTAATGTAGTTGCTAAAGGGTTTAAACTGCTAGAGATAGAGTTCTAAAAATTAGATGCTCTAGGAATCTGTTAAAAGCAAAAGTGCAGGAATGGAGCCCTCCAGAAACAGTTTCAAAAATTCGTGGTTGGCTCTCTTTGCCACTATTATCACGTTATGTGTGCGGTTGGGCAGATTATTGGTAAATATTCCCGAGTTCCACAAAATAACCGCTGTGCACCTTGGTAAGCTTTGATAGATCCCTGTTCCCTTGGAGGCTCCAAATACACAATTTTATACATATGCTCAGTATGAAAAATTAGTGCTTGTCTATTTAACCATCCTTAGTTGCATATTTTACACCAAGTATGTTCATAATGAAATGTGAGGAAATCTACATAACTGCTTGAAATTGGAAGGAATGTCTAAAGCAAATACAAAGTCATGAACCACTTAGAAAATGTTATTTGCTCAAAGTGCTTTTATTCCTACCATTTCTGAGCTGTGGATGAGACCTATGAAGGCCAGTTAAAGAATGTAATGAATAATGCTAGTCACACATTAATTGAGAGACAGAATGTGAATTCAATCTCTGCAAGTTGTTAAACAAACCTAAAACATCCATAGCATTAGCTGTCTCCATGGGAGGAACAAAATTGGAATCTGTATTCTGTATTAGTTCATTTGCAACCAAATAGTATAAGGCATGCACAGGACAGGAAAGCATGTAAAATACCCAGGAAGAGAAGCCTCAGTAGTAACTGTTTGAAACGGGACTCACAATTGGGATTCACAAACACAAACCTCAAAGCGAAAATCATAAATATTATTAAAGGACATTAAAATAAAGAAAAATATGGTACAATCACTGTTAAGTAGGGGAAATTAACACCTATTGAATTTGTAGAGAAGGTAGATTCAACAGAGTAAACAAAATTTTATATTCATTTCTTAGTATCTAATTTTATTTACTTTACATGTCAGGAGAAAGAGGTGAGAAAAACCCAAAATATTTAGAAAGTTATTGTACTTGTTAAGGCTTTTTAGAACAGAAGTTAGGTAGTATAAATTTCGCTGTGCATTTCATAGTATGCTGTCTTACATAATTTTATGCCTTTGGATCAAGGGTAATTAGCAAAGACAAAGTTACTCACCAGGGAACAAATGTGAATTCTGCCAGCCTGAAAGTGTACAAAATGAGGAGACATCGTTTATTTTTCTGGTTCTTGTCATATCATTTCCTCTTATTTACATTTTACATTATGCAAAATGTAAAATAATAGTAGAGTAGCAAAAGGTAATACATTGCATACTGTTATCCTCAAAGAAATTACTCCGTGTACAAGATACGGGCATCAAATAATATGGGCATTCTCTAATTGATAGCACCACAGAACCTTCCTTTTCATTGAACTGAAAGACACTATTACACAAATGAACTGAATTTTTCCCCTTTCCCATCGTTCTTTTATCTTTCCACCATCATGTTTCCTTTTTCCTTGTGAAGCATTTCTTCCCTTTTCACATTAACTGTTGTACATTATAGACCTTATTAACTATTTCCTTTTCTCACACTAGGAAGACAATATGACACTTACACTTGTGAATCTTATTTACCTCACTTACAAAGATCATCTCAGGTTACATCCATTTACATGTAAAAGTCTTGGATCAATGCTTCTTTATGGTCGAGTAGTACTCCATTATATAAAGATATCACATCCTTTCTATCCATTCCTCAGTTATTGGGCATTTGGGATGCTTCTAAATTTAGCTATTACAGACTGTGCTGCTATAAACATGCCTGCACATATATTGCTGTGGTATGATATTTTTAAATCTTCCAGGAAGGTACCATGAAATGGCTACAGAGAATGGGACATCTAATCCTACTTTTGAGGAATTGCCACACTGAAATCCACAGTGGGTGCATCAGTCTGCACACCTAACAAGAGGGGAGAAGTGTTAATTTTCCCCCACTGCCCATCCAGCTTTTGGTATTGATTGATGCCTTGATAGTAGCCATTATTTCTCGAGTGAGATGTATCTCAATGTTTTAATTTGCATCACTCAAATGACTAACGATGCTGAACATTTGTTCATGTATTTATTTTCCATTTCTATTTCTTCATCTAAGAAGATGCATTCATTCTCAGATGCCCATTTTTGGGTTTTTTTAGTTTTTAAATTCTTTATGTGTTCTAAATCGAAGTGCTTTGTCTGAGCACTTCAAAGTTGGCTAAATTTTTTACCATTCTCTGTGTTGTTATTTTATGTTGTTGATGAGTACTTTTGATGTGAAAAGGCTTTTTAATAAGACAAGACCCCTGTTACTTGTTCTTTGAAGTATTTCCAGTGCAGTTTTTTTTTAATTTTTTTATTTTTTATTTATTTATTTATTTTTTTATGAAGTCTCTGCCTATACCTATGTCTTTAACATTGCTACCTGATTTCTCTTTCAGTAGATTTGGCTCACTAGAAGTGTCCTGTGACTTCTCAGTTCTTTGCTGGCCCAAAAGTGCTCCTGGCTCATGGTAAGCGTAGATTGACTTCTGGTTCTCTTCTTGGTCCATGACTGCCTTCTAGACTTTTGATCCATTTTGACTTTAGTTTAGTGCATGGTGATAGATACAGGTCTAGTTTTAGTATTGGTATGTAAACAGCCAGGGTTTGAAGCACCATTTCTTAAAGAGACTTATCTTTCTTCCAGTGAATATGCTCAGCCCTTTGTGAAATATAAGATGGCTGAGTTTCTTGCGCTTGTGTGTGCATCTTCTAATCTGTTCCACTGATAATTAGGTCTGCTTTTCCCAGTAGATTTCAAGTATAATTTTATCACAGTAGTTTTGTGGTATAATTTTAAGTCAGGAGTTATGGTGCCTACTGCTTTACCTTTGTTGCACAGAATCAGATTTTCTATTCTAAATCTCTTTGGATTCAAGCAAATATTAGGGATATTTTCTATAATGCTGTGAGGTATGCTAGGGGTGTTTTGACCAGGATTGCATAAATCTGTGCAATTATTTAGAGAGTAGGACCATTTTCACTATGTTTTTTCTTCCTATCTATGAACAAGGGAAAGCTTTCTATTTTCCAATATTCTCTTTTTCTTTTTCAGAATATTGTTATTTTCAATATGTACAAATTTTATTTCATTACATTGATTCCTAAGTATTTCATTTTCATTGGATGCTATTATGAAGTGTTTTGTTTCCATTATTTATATCAATGAATTTGTTGTTTGTGTACAGGAGCATTATTGATTTTTCAGGGTTCACTTTGTATCCAGCTACATAACTGAATTTCATTATTTGCTGGAGTTTTTGGGTTTTCTATGTAGAACATCATGTCATCTGTGAATAATGATAATAGTGCTTCCTCCTTTCCTATCCTTATTCCTTTTATTTTTCTCTCTTGTCTAATTGCTCTGGCTAATGTTTCCAGAACAATATTGAAGAGGAGGGGTGATAGTGAACATCCTTGTTTTGGTCCTGATTTTAGAGTAAAAGCTTTCTGCTTTTGACCATTTAGTGTGTTGTTTACTGTTGGTTTGTTATAGATGGCTTTTATCAGGCTGAGATAAAACCACCCATTCTGATAGTCTGTAGGGTATTTTAAAATTTATTCATTTATTTATTTTTAATTTGAATGGAATAAAATAAAAGTATAAAATGGAAAAAAATTAAACAGTGAGAATAGTGCTGGATTTCAAAAACAAGACAAAAGGAGTCCCCCATTGTTTCTCTATTGCATCTTTTAAACCCTTGAACAGATGCTTAGATTACTGCTCCTAGGCCTTCAAAGCCAATCAATCAACAGAATCACTACATTGCTTTTCAACTTCAGATGTTATCATTCCAGCCTATTCCTCCAAATGAGATGATTGTCTACACTGGGATGGGGAGTAGTTCTTTTTGTCTCCCTGGCTCATGCACTGACTGGATCATGGGAAGGCAAGGACTGACTTCTTGCTTCTTTCCACAGCCCCCATGGCTGCTTTGGCTCATGGAGAGGGTTGGCTGATTTCTTGGTTTTCTTCCCAGTGGACATCTACTGCTGGCTTGTGGGAGGGGTGGGCTGACTTTTTGGTTCACTTTCTAGTGCTGGCTCATAAGAGCGTTGGGTAATTTCTTGGTTCTTTTCCTGGCCCACAGGTGTTCGTGGCTCATGGAAAATGTAGACTGACTTGTTGTTTCTCTTTTTGTCCATGACTGCTGCTCTCTGTAATTTTTTTTATCATGAATGAATCTTGGTCTTTTTATTTTATCCTTGTTATTCTGTAACTATTCAGCTGCCTTTTTTATTTGTGTCTGTATTCTTCCTCACAATAGTTATTTATCTTTTTTTACAATAATTCCTTTTCTCATCTTAATAATATTTTCCTTTTAGTGAACAGAGAAATTCAAATATTGACAAACACATAATGATTTATAAAAACATAAGCTATAAACTACCAAAGAAAGTAAATTTCAAGGCAAGAAAACATGCCAAACAATGGAAAGAAATATGGAGAGTTTGAAAAATGAAAATGGAAAAAGGAAAAATAGAAAAAACATGGAAATAAGACAGGAGAAAGAAAGAAGGAAACATCAGAAACGGAGGAAGAGAGGAAGACATGAGAATAAAAAGACAAGAATTAGAATATGGGGAAAGAACAGAGGTTGAGACAAATATTTAAAGAGAGAAAAATCAGTGGGAATAGAAGTGAAAAGAAAAATATACAAAATGTGCATAAAAGTACTTTCCTAAGCACATTAAAATATTCCAAACCAGAAAAAACTGAATTCCTTGTATTTCATCATTCACTCCCACACAGTGATTTCAGGCAATATTATCTTAGGCCTGATTTTCTGCACTGAGGTTAGAAGAGGTTAAGACATTTGATTATTAATCGCATTGGAACTGTGCGAGAACTTCTGAGTTACTTACCATTCTCGAACTGAGCTTTCCTGTCATCTGAAAGGAGATGAGCACATAAGTTTGAGCCTCTTAATGAGATAAAGACACATAAAAAAGACATGCATTCCTCTGTGACTCATTACAGTCATTATTAGTGTAACACTACCCAAGTCATTGCTGCTTTCTAATATTGATTCTCATGGAGGAAAATCAAGCTGAATCATATAATGTTACACATTTCATCAATATAAACAGGCAACTTATTTCTAGCATTTTAACTATTATAGAGTGGCAACTTGAATTTCAAAATGTATTTAGGTAATTTCTTGTTTTTTTTTTTTTTTTTTTTTTTTCTCTCATTGCTGAGACAAAATATATGACACCTAAAGTCAAGCAAGAAAAGTTTTATTTGTCTGACAGGTTTTTGGAGATTTAAGCCCATAGTCAGATTTAAGCTCTAAGACAGGGTGGTGTACATGAGAGGCAGCCTTTCATGGTGGCAGCAAACAACAAGAGCCAACATGCAAAAGACGGAGAGCAGCCTCCTTCCCTCCCTTGCATTGTATGCTGCTTCCCTGCCCCTGAGTGAGTAAGGCACTCACACCATCAGTCCCAATATTAGACACTGAAGCAGTCACAAATGATAGATTCAGCTTCCTCCATGATTGCATGAGACTGGGGTATGGGGCATCTGAACACAAACCATAACAGATAAGCATAAAGATGAAAGATGAAGTGAAACAAGAGATTCCTTTAGAGATGAGAGAAATTTATAAATATTTTATTTGGAAGAATAAAATTACCAATTTCCTGTTGCAGCTTATCTGAAAAAGAAATGTGAAAACTCAGTTTTAGCATCAGAGAATGAAGAAAACCTTGCTTGGTAGTATTATGTAAAATTACATGGGTTAGTTTATTAAGATTTTTAATATCACTATATTTACTTTGAACACTTCTTGAACAAAGTAAAGGAAAGAAAAAACATAACAAGTATACAGGGATAATTTTTCAGGTGAAATTTAAGGAGGAAATGATCAAATTCTCCCATGAAGTTTTTTTTTTTTTTTTTTTTTTTTGCCTTAAATTAGACCACTGATATTTATGGTGTTGCCCTGTCATCTGACACCTGTGCCACTCTAGTTACAGTTTTTCATTATTTTCCATAAATTAGGCATTTGCTAAGACATTTAGCAAACTACTCCGTTGAGTGCTACCTGGGTCACATGCAGTGTTGCTCCTCTGACTGTAGAAGGAAGAGGAGAGCACTGGCGTGCAGGTCTGTTAAAATCTAAAGGGGAAACTGCAACCCTGTGCCGTGGTCCTTCTTCAAGGGGCAGCAGCCCGCGGTTTTAGCCCCCAGGCACAGTGGATGGGCGGCCTTCTACTCCAGGGACCCACCCAAGGACAGCTCTTAAGTTACTTTCAGAATGGGGTGCTGGGCAAGGGAAGTGCAATGAGTCTCATTATCTTACCAAAAGTTCATTCATCTAAGAGCCCAAAGAAGGAGTCCATATTTAATGTCCTGGACAGAGCTATGGTGTAGTGCAATACAGAAACGGAAAGGTACATGTAATAGGTGAATTAACTTGTTGGAAAATATGAGGTGAAGAAGGAAGAAAAAAGGAAGGAAGAAGTGGAGATGGATAAAAGGAGGAGAACAGGATTGACTAATGGGTTTTTATTAGTTGGAAACCATAAAAATTGCAGAAATATTTGTAATAAGGAGAAAGGAAGAATGCAAAAATCAAGTAGGTATAAAGATAAGATTATATTTTGTACATCAAGTGTTATTAAAGTTTACTATCCTTTTACTTAAATTGATCTGAGAAATAAAAAATATAGAAGAATTACAAGGAAACAGAAGAATAATAAAATATAGTATAAAATCATTGATAGTTGGTGTGTTGGAACAAGCCTGTAATTTCACTATTTAGAAGACAGAGGTGCATGGACTGCGGTAGGTTCACTTATACAGGAATATCCATGTAAACAGTATTCACAGTAGGGCAAATCTGAAAGAATCCCTAAGTGCATAGCTAAATGGTTAATAAAAATTGTTCATATTCATCCATTGGAATATTAGTCACAAAATAAAAATAAAGAACTGACACATAATACAATACGGTGAATGTGAAAATGTCTGCACAGTTGGTAGTAGGCAGCCACAAAATGTCATATACACTGTAGGGTCGTAGATGTGAGGTAACCAGAGAAGACAAATCCATAGAGAAAAATCAGAACAGTGACTGCCAAAGACTGAGTGTGGGGACGCAGAGCAGATCCCTTAGTGCACCAGCAGCCGTTCTAGAAGCTACAAGCAGGTGAGAGTAGCACAGCTCTGATGTGTACTGGAAATCACTGAATGTGAGCTATAGAGGGGTTGTGTCAACTCATTATGGCTTTTACTTCAATTAAAGCAACTAATCAGTAAAATCAATCAATCATGAAATAAGACCACATCAAATCAGTCAGTCAAGAACTGGCCGTGCTTAAGTTCCATAATTTGTACACACGTGATGGTTAAATATCTTCCTGTGAAGTGTAAAATATCTTTTATTTTCCTGAACAAGTAGTTAAGGAAAAATTTGGCATTTGAAAAAGCAAACAGGAAAGAATTTGAAAACAGATTAAATGAAAGAAAAATGCAAACTGAGTAATAGAATTGTGCTAGAGGGAATGCTTTACTTAGTCTAAACCTTGAAGATGAAGATATCATTTACATCTTTGTTGCTGCTAAAAATATGGCTCTATGGGTGATATCCTTGTGAGAGCAGATCAGGATTAGAAACTCACCATTTTACGTTTTAAGTTTACTTGCAAAACAAATGAAGAATATTGCTGAAATCAGTGAAGTAAGTGTAAATGCAATCAAAATGATCAAATAATAGATATGGGGAAAAGTGACAACTTTAAGAGAAGAGAAAATTTAAAAAAATTTAAAATATTTAAAGGATTCTTGTTGTTAGAATAGATAAAAATTACAAATTGATAGTCATATAAAGTAGTAATGAATAGTAGAAAGATAAGAAAGCAGTCATGCATACATGTAGGACGGTTGTGTTTTGTACATAAAATGTTACTAAAACCCACCATTCTCTATTCTGAGTTGATCTGATAAAACAATAACACACCAAAGTCACAGTCAATAATAAACAAAGTGATTCTACTGTGATTAATATTTCTTGACTGCTCCTCTGTGCCAGACTTTATTCAAATGCTTTAAAGGGCATCATGTTTACCATCTACCATGCTCAGAAACTAAATTAGTAAGCACATGTGGAAGAGTACAATGAGATTAGAGGAAGGACACCTGCCTTGCTAATTTTCACAGTTTTTTGTTCTTGAGTTACAAATTTATGCAAAGGGAGTCTGACATCAATCTGCTATTGTACTTATTTATTTTTCCTGGACACAGAAGGAACAGTGACGACATCAATATGTCTGTGGGAGCAGAGAGTGAACCAGACACATCCTCTAATATTTCTGTTTCTTCTGTTTTTGGTAGATGAATTTTGCAATCATTTACTATTGTAAATTGATGATTTTATATAACAAAATGTTATGTCTCTATAGCACCTGTGTACCTCCAAACATTATTGAAAAATAGCCTTTCATCTTCCATTATGAACATGTCTTTCCAAAGCTGAGTTGGTGATGTATTAATTTTTAGTTGTATGTTCCATTCAAGAGAATTTGACAACCCCAGTCTGTGATTGTGGCTTGATAAACACTAAGGTACGCTGTAGGATGATTAGCTATAATGACAGACATTATTTTGAAGCACATTTAAGTAGCAGCCTGTGAAAGATTTTCAGATCAAGTGAATCCTTACAAAGAAGTATTAGTTAGCTGTGATCTGTGTGCTATGCAGCTTGCTGAGTAGAAAGGTTACGCACCAGGGAAGTCCAGTGAGAAAACTCATGTCACAGGCGTGATTGGTCCCATGACTAAACTCCATGGTGCAGACTAACATACTATCACCTTTTAAACAGATGAGTGCAGAACATGCCGTGCCTATCTACGGGAGAATTTATTTCCACTTTCCTTTGATGTTCTTCAAATGTTTCTGTGCTATATACAAATACCTCATTCATTTAGAGTCTGCTATGATTTTTCAAGTCCACTTCTGCTTAGGTCCACTCACTCTCATTCTCTTTGTTTGTTGTCATCTTCCAAAGGAAATTCTCATATAATCAGATAAATTTAAAAACAGTAAAAATTAAAGTTCTGTTTGCAACTGACTTTCATTAATGTACTGCAATGAGTTCTAGACGTTTCATTTTGCAGAGTTTATAAAAATATATACTAGTGGAGGGACTATAAGTTGTTTACATTTTTAATTTGATAGACAAACCTTTTTACTACATCAAAAGGAATCTGAGTGAAGGAAGACTCTTTCATTAACATGTGGTGATGTACAAATAGTTAATGTAATCTGAAAATGACAATATTTATGAGAAAAATTCCTGCCTAGAAAAAAATCTGCATTCTTTAAATGGGCCTCTGATTCATATCTTTAGTATTTTCCTACATTGAAAGTACTTACTCAAACTGAAAAAAAAAAGGATATCAAATATCTTACTGAAATAGCTTCTGAGGAAAAGCAACTGCAACTTATGCAATATGATAATTCTGGACACCATTTGATTTTGGAGTGGAGGTTTAGAAATGAAAATGAGGCCAAAGCAATAAAACACATATTAAAACTTGGAATGTAATAAAAATTTGCACAGTGTGTAAATGAAAACGTACACTTTCAGCTTAATGACAAAAAAATAACAATTCCTTTTAGAAACATAAAAAGGGACAGGAGATGGATGTTTCTGCCAAGAAGAGGGAAAAAGAACAGGCCCATAGAAAGGTGAACAATATCTCTGGTGACATTGAAGATGCAAATTGAAGCAGTAATACAGCATCTGAGAGTACTAAGGTGGCTCTTCTGAGTAAATACAAACATGTAAGATTCTTGGAAGAATCCAAACAAGTTCATATTTTGTACTTCCTTACTGGAAAAGCGAAATAGTGCTATGATCCTATCTCTTTTTTTCTGATTGTCTATCTTTCATTTTAAAATGTGTATATATAATACGATTCTTGTATGAGATAAATCATATGATGTTTTCGCTTCTGAGTCAGTTTTACTTCACTTGACAGTTTGGACTCAAGGTGCATCTGTTGTTTGTCAATTGGCTCAACAATAGAGATATTTGAGCAGGATACATTTCAGGATATATATAAAAAGAAACACAGCGACATGGCAATTCAATCCCCAGTCACAGGCTCCTTCAAATTTAAAGCAGGTACTCAAACCTGCTCTTGTGTGGTAGGATGCACCGAGGTCTCAAGCTGGTGAAGTCCCAGTGTCAATCATGAGGTGAATGGAGAAAGGATTTCACATGGATGTTTGACTGGTATTCAGACTTAGATGTACTTGCTGAATGGTACTCTGCCATGACAAGATGGCAAGTATTGACGGAAGTTACAACTTGATGAATTTGGATAACTGTGTACACAGGCAAGAAGGCTGACTCAGATGTTCACACCCTGACAGAGGAATGAGGAAACCCAAGTAGGTAAATTCCCAGAGACAGAGCCGAAAAGGGGTTCTCAGAGCAACCACAAGTGTCTTCTTGTGAGCTGGAGTCAGTTTTGCATACAGACACTGTGGGAGGTATGTGAAGGTCTACACAGCACGTTTAATGTGCAAAGTGTCACTGAGGGCACACTTCACAGGAGTATTTTAATTCTGGTCGAATTTTACGTCAATCAACATAGCTAGTCAGTAGAAGTGATCTTCAACTGAAAGCAGTGATTCTTCCATGGAATGGAGAACCGTTTTGTGCAAATTTCGTAATTTTTGTGTTTATCAAGATAAAACAGTATACTTCTGGTTAACATACGTTTCATATTTCTGAACAAGTGTTCAGAGTAAAACGGCAGTTGAAATTAAACAGAAAAAAAATCTTAAATATAGCTCAAATTTAAGCAAAATGTAAAATTAGTAGTAAAGGTGCACAAGAGACACTACTTTATTTACTCTATGACCTATAAAATGAGGATACCTTTTGCTCCTTTAGTATTGCTTACAATTTGTTCTAATTTTTAGTATCTTTAATCAAACTGGATGAACAGTGGAAACTCACCATGTTCCGTTTGAAGTGTTTCTGCAAAACATATTTTGATATAATCAGTGAAAGATAATATAAATGCAATTACAAATGATCAAAAACTAGCAGTTTTAGAAAAATAAATCAACATAAGGATTAGTAAATAAAGATAGTGAATGAGATATTAAATTATAGAGATACAGTGACATAGGGAGAAACAAGATGATTGTCGGATTTTTAAAACTAAGTCTGTATCAAAATCCCAAATACATCCTACTTCGAAAACATCAAGAAGGAGGGATTACAAAATGATTACAAATAACTGTAGCAAGATTGTAATTAGTTCATAAAATATTATTAAAATTTACCTTTGTCCTTTCTGAGTTGTTCTGAAAATGAAAACATACTGAACTCACAATCAAATAGAAACCAAATCATTCTAATATCACTGATATTCAGTGAGTGCTTTGCAGTGCTCAGCAGACAATTAGTAGATATGCTTGGAAGGGTAACATGAGATTAGAGGCAGGACACATTTCTTGTTTTTTAGAGCTGCTTACTCCATAGGTAGAAGTTAAAGCAAAGCGACTCTCACATCAGTTTGCCATTGTATTTATTAGTTTTTGGCCAGGACCCTGAAGGTACCGGGACACTAATAGAGAGATGCAGATCTTGGCTGTGAGGAAACGCTACCCACACACACTAATGAGAATTTATAAACAAAAAATGGGGAGGAAGTGTGGGAAATAGTGTACCGAAATTTAAATTGTGTATATTCTCAGGGGAAAGGTGAAGTAGTGCTATTTTCTCTGTCTGTCTCTTTCCTATCATTTAGCTTTCTTTTGCTTTTGTGCTTCTATTGAGTTTCCATGGAGGAGAATCCATGTGACGTTTTACCGGAATTATATTACTTATGATTACAGTCTCAGGGTGCATCTATTTCTTTATGGGAGAATCAAAAATACTGGCATTTCATGGGCAAATTTTCAGTGAAATAGACATGCCCCAACATTTCCATTCCCAGTGTGGACTCCTTCAAATGTCAAAGCAAGCCTGAATCACGTAATTGTACAGGATTGTGGATGAAAACAGTATTTACTGTAGCACAAACTGGGAAGAATCCCTAAGTCCATAGGTAAAGGGTTAAAAACCATTGCACATACTCATCCAGTAGAGTGTTATTTACAAAGAAAACTAAAGTACTGGCACACATTGCAACGTGTCAAATGTGGAAAACTCTATACATGTGAAAGTAGGCAGCCGCAAAATGTCATATACTTTGTAGTGTCCTTGATGTGTGGTAAGCCGAGCAGAAGATTCCATAGAAAAAGCAGAATAGTGACTGTCAAAAGCTGAGTTAAGTGTAGGAAAGCAGACCTTACTGCTCATGATGCCCGGAGGGCACTGGCTCCCGCTCTGGGAGCTACAAGCATGTGAGTGGCACAGCCCTGAAGTGTACTGCAAGTTACTGAATGTGTGCTGTAGAGGGCCTGACTCAGCTCACCATGGATTTCACCTCAATTAAAGCCACTAATCAGTACACACCATCATGAAATGAAATATGAAAGCGTCAACTCAGACAGTGAAGAACTGGCCTAGCTTAAGTACCATAATTTGTAGACATGTGATGCTGAAATATCTTCCTAGTTACCTCTAAACTATCTTTTATTTTCCTGAACTAGTAGTTACAGAAAAATTTGGCAGTTGACAAAACAAATAGCAAATCTTTTAAAACCGATGAATTTAAACAAACAAACAACAACAACAACAACAACAAAAAAAAACTCCTAAATGAGTGTTAGAAGTGTGCCAGAGGCAATGGGGCATTTATCATTAATCTTGAAGATGAAGATTTCCTTCACATCTTTGTTACTGATAAAGTTATGGCTCTATCGGTAATATCCTTATGAGAGGAAATCAAGATTAGAAAAATCACCATTTTCTCTTCTAAGTGCAGTTTCAAAACTAATAAAGAATATTGAGGAAATCAGTGAAGTAATTTACAATTGCAATCAAAAATAATCAAAAAAATAGATGTGGCGAAAAGTGAATTAAGGTTTACAGAAGTAATTAAATATAAATAGAATATTTAAAGGATTTTTGTTATTAAAACAGATAAAAATTATTAACTGATACTCCTAGAACGTAATAATGAATAGCATAAAGATAAAACTGTAGTCATCCCTACCTGTATGAAGGTTGTATTTTGTACTTAAAGTGTTATTAAAACTCACCCTTCTCTTCTTTGAGTTGATCTGATAAAATAAAAACATACAAAAATCACAGTGAAACATAAACGAAGTGATTCTAACGTGATTGATGGTTCTTGAATGCTCCTCTGCACTAGGCTTTATTCAAATGTTTTAAAGGGCATCGTGTTTACCATCTATCATGCTCAGAAACTAAATTAGTAAGCACATGTGGAAGAGTACCACGAGATTAGAGGAAGGACACCTGTTTGTTAATTTTCACAATTTTTGTTCTCGAGTTAAACCTTTCTGAAATGGGAGTCTGACAGTATTTTGCCATTTTATGTATTTATTTCGCAAGGGCCCTGAAGGAACAGTGATGACCTCGATATGTCTGTGAGAGCAGAGTGTGAACCAGACACATACTCTAATATTTCTTTTTGTGGTAGATGAATCTTGTCATCATCTACTACTGTCAAGTGATGATTTTATATAACAAATATTATGCCTCTATAGCACCTGCATAACTCCAAGCTTTATTGAAAAATAGCCTTTCATCTTCCATTACAAACATGTCTTTCCAAAGCTGAGTTGGTGATGCATTAATATCTAGACGTATATTCCCTTCAAGAGAATTTGACACCCTCAGTCTGCGAATGTGGCTTGATAAACATTAAGATTCACTGTAGGATGATTAGCTATACTGACAGACATTATTTTGCGGCACATCTAAGTAGCAGGCTGTGAAAGATTTTCAGAGCAATTTATTCATTATAAAGAAGTATTAGTGAGCTGAGTTTTGTGTGCTACACAGCTTTCTGAGAAGTAAGGTTATGCACCTGTGAAGTCCGGTGAGGAAAATCATGTCAGTGGCTGTGACTGGCCCGATGACTAAACTCCACGGGACGTACTAACACCGCATCACCTTTTACATAGATGACTGAAGAACCTGCCATGTTTTTTTATGGCACAATTTATTTCCTCTTTTCTTTTCTGTTCCTCCAGTGGTTCTCTGCTTTGTACTGATACCACATTTACTGGCTCCTCTATGTTTTCAGCACCTTTCCTGCTTATGTCCACTCATTCTCATTCACTTTGTTTGTTGTCATCTTCAAAATGAAATTCTCATATTATCAGACAAATTTAACAAATGTAAAACTATAATTCTGTTTGCTACTGATTTTCAATAATGTACTGCAATGGGTTCTAAACATTTCTTTTGTCAGATTTTATTTAAATATATACAAGAGGAGAGAATATAAGTTGTTTGTATATTTTAATTTTAAAGTGAAATGTTTTACTATATCAAAAGGGCTCTGTGTGAAGGAAGACTCTTTCATTACCATGTTGCAATGTACAAGTAGTTACTGTCCTTTGAAAATGACCACATTTCTGAGAAAAATCCCTGCCTAGAAAAAAATCTCTGTGGTATAAATGAGCCTCTGATGCATATCTTTGTATTTTCTTGCACTGAAAATATTTACTCAAACTTAAGAAAAGGTTATCAAATATCTTACCGAAATAACTTTGGAGTAAACGCAACTGCAAAGTGTGCAATATGATATTTCTTGATGCCCTTTGATTTTGGAGTGGAGGTTTAGAAATGAAAATGAGGCCAGAGCAATAAAAGACAAATGAAAACTTTGAATGTAATAAAAATTTGCACAGTGTGTAAATGAAAATGTACACTTTCAGCTTAATGACAAAAAAATAACAGTTCCTTTTAGAAACATAGAAGAGAGAGAAGATGGATGTTTCTGCCACGAAGAGGGAAAAAGAACAGGCCCATAGAAAGGTGCCCAGTATCTCTGGTGACATTGAAGATGCAAATTAAAGCAGTAATACAACATCTGAGAGGTACTAAGGTGGCTCTTCTGGATAAATACAAACATGCAAGAGTCTTGGAAGCATCCAAACAAGTTCATATTTTGTACTTCCTTACTGGAAAAACGAAATAGTGCTATTATCCTATCTCTTTTTTTCTGATTGTCTATCTTTCATTTTGAAATGTGTATACATAATACGATTCTTGTATGAGATAAATCATATGATATTTTTGCTTCTGAGTCAGTTTTACTTCACTTGACAGTTTGGACTCAAGGTGCATCTGTTGTTTGTCAATTGGCTCAACAATAGAGATATTTGAGCAGGATACATTTCAGGATATATATAAAAAGAAACACAGTGACATGGCAATTCAATCCCCAGTCACAGGCTCCTTCAAATTTAAAGCAGGTACTCAAACCTGCTCTTGTGTGGTAGGATGCACCGAGGTCTCAAGCTAGTGAAGTCCCAGTGTCAACCATGAGGTGAACGGAGATAGGATTTCACATGGATGTTTGACTGGTATTCAGACTTAGATGTACTTGCTGAATGGTACTCTGCCATGACAAGATGGCAAGTATTGACGGAAGTTACAACTTGATGAATTTGGATAACTGTGTACACAGGCAAGAAGGCTGACTCAGATGTTCACACCCTGACAGAGGAATGAGGAAACCCAAGTAGGTAAATTCCCAGAGACAGAGCCGAAAAGGGGTTCTCAGAGCAACCACAAGTGTCTTCTTGTGAGCTGGAGTCAGTTTTGCATACTGACTCTCTGGGAGGTATGTGAAGGTCTACACAGCACGTTTAATGTGCAAAGGGTCACTGGACAGTACACTTCACAGGAGTATTTTAATTCTGGTCGAGTTTTACATCAATAAAAATAGCTAGTCAGTAGAAGTGTTCTTCACCTGAAAAGAGTGATTCTTCCATGGAATGGAGAACGTTTTGTGGAAATTTCTTAATTTTTGTGTTTATCAAGATAAAACAGTATACTTCTGGTTAACATACCTTTCATATTTCTGAACAAGTGCTCAGAGTAAAACGGCAGTTGAAATTAAACTGAAAAAAATCTTAAATATAGCTCAAATTTAAGCAAAATGTAAAATTAGTAGTAAAGGTGCACAAGAGACACTACTTTATTTACTCTATGACCTATAAAATGAGGATACCTTTTGCTCCTTTAGTATTGCTTACAATTTGTTCTAATTTTCAGTATCTTTAATCAAACTGGATGAACAGTGGAAACTCACCATGTTTCGTTTGAAGTGTTTCTGCAAAACATATTTTGATGGAATCAGTGAGAGATCATATAAATGCAATCACAAATGATCACAAACTAGCAGTTTTAGAAAAATAAATCAACGTAAGTATTAGTAAATAAAGATAGTGAATGAGATAGTAAATGATAGAGAGACAGTGACATAGGGAGAAACAAGATGATTGACGGATTTTTAAAACTAAGTCTGTATCAAAATCACAAATAGATCCTACTTCGAAAACTTCAAGAAGGAGGGATTACAAAATGATTACAAATAACTGTAGCAAGATTGTAATTAGTTCATAAAATATTATTAAAATTTACCTTTGTCCTTTCTGAGTTGTTCTGAAAATGAAAACATACCGAACTCACAATCAAATAGAAACCAAATCATTCTAATATCACTGATATTCAGTGAGTGCTTTGCAGTGCTCAGCAGACAATTAGTAGATATGCTTGGAAGGGTAACATGAGATTAGAGGCAGGACACATTTCTTGTTTTTTAGAGCTGCTTACTCCATAGGTAGAAGTTAAAGCAAAGCGACTCTCACATCAGTTTGCCATTGTATTTATTAGTTTTTGGCCAGGACCCTGAAGGTACCGGGACACTAATAGAGAGATGCAGATCTTGGCTGTGAGGAAACGCTACCCACACACACTAATGAGAATTTATAAACAAAAAATGGGGAGGAAGTGTGGGAAATAGTGTACCGAAATTTAAATTGTGTATATTCTCAGGGGAAAGGTGAAGTAGTGCTATTTTCTCTGTCTGTCTCTTTCCTATCATTTAGCTTTCTTTTGCTTTTGTGCTTCTATTGAGTTTCCATGGAGGAGAATCCATGTGACGTTTTACCAGAATTATATTACTTTTGATTACAGTCTCAGGGTGCATCTATTTCTTTATGGGAGAATCAAAAGTACTGGCATTTCATGGGCAAATTTTCAGTGAAATAGACATGCCCCAACATTTCCATTCCCAGTGTGGACTCCTTCAAATGTCAAAGCAAGCCTGAATCACGTAATTGTACAGGATTGTGGATGAAAACAGTATTTACTGTAGCACAAACTGCTAAGAATCCCTAAGTCCATAGGTAAAGGGTTAAAAACAATTGCACATACTCATCCAGTAGAGTGTTATTTACAAAGAAAACTAAAGTACTGGCACACATTACAACGTGTCAAATGTGGAAAACTCTATACATGTGAAAGTAGGCAGCCACAAAATGTCATATACTTTGTAGTGTCCTTGATGTGTGGTAAGCCGAGCAGAAGATTCCATAGAAAAAGCAGAATAGTGACTGTCAAAGGCTGAGTTAAGTGTAGGAAAGCAGACCTGACTGCTCATGATGCCCGGAGTGCACCGGCTCCCGCTCTGGGATCTACAAGCATGTGAGTGGCACAGCCCTGAAGTGTATTGCAAGTTACTGAATATGTGCTGTAGAGGGCCTGACTCAGCTCACCATGGTTTCACCTCAACTAAAGCCACTAATCAGTACATGCCATCATGAAATGAAATATGAAAGCGTCAACTCAGACAGTGAAGAACTGGCCTAGCTTAAGTACCATAATTTGTAGACATGTGATGCTGAAATATCTTCCTAGTTACCTCTAAACTATCTTTTATTTTCCTGAACTAGTAGTTACAGAAAAATTTGGCAGTTGACAAAACAAATAGCAAATCTTTTAAAACAGATGAATTTAAACAACAACAAGAAAAAAAAAAACCAAAAAAAAAAAAAAAAAAAAAAAAAAAAACCTCCTAAATGAGTGTTAGAAGTGTGCCAGAGGCAATGGGGCATTTATCATAAATCTTGAAGATGAAGATTTCCTTCACATCTTTGTTACTGATAAAGTTATGGCTCTATCGGTAATATCCTTATGAGAGGAAATCAAGATTAGAAAAATCACCATTTTCTCTTAAGTGCAGGTTCAAAACTAATAAAGAATATTGAGGAAATCAGTGAAGTAATTTACAATTGCAATCAAAAATGATCAAAAAATAGATGTGGCGAAAAGTGAATTAAGGTTTACAGAAGTAATTTAATATAAATAGAATATTTAAAGGATTTTAGTTATTAAAATAGATAAAAATTACTAACTGATACTCCGAGAACGTAGTAATGAATAGCATAAAGATAAAACTGTAGTCATCCATACCTGTAAGAAGGTTGTATTTTGTACTTAAAGTGTTATTAAAACTCACCCTTCTCTTCTTTGAGTTGATCTGATAAAATAAAAACATACAAAAATCACAGTGAAACATAAACGAAGTGATTCTAATGTGATTGATAGTTCTTGAATGCTCCTCTGCACCAGGCTTTATTCAAATGTTTTAAAGGGCATCGTGTTTACCATCTACCATGCTCAGAAACTAAATTAGTAAGCACATGTGGAAGAGTACCACGATATTAGTGGAAGGACACCCGTCTTGTCAATTTTCACAATTTCTTGTTCCCGAGTTAAACATTTCTGAAATGGGAGTCTGACAGTATTTTGCCATTTTATGTATTTATTTCGCAAGGGCCCTGAAGGAACAGTGATGACCTCGATATGTCTGTGAGAGCAGAGTGTGAACCAGACACATACTCTAATATTTCTTTTTGTGGTAGATGAATCTTGTCATCATCTACTACTGTCAAGTGATGATTTTATATAACAAATATTATGCCTCTATAGCACCTGCATAACTCCAAGCTTTATTGAAAAATAGCCTTTCATCTTCCATTACAAACATGTCTTTCCAAAGCTGAGTTGGTGATGCATTAATATCTAGACGTATATTCCCTTCAAGAGAATTTGACACCCTCAGTCTGCGAATGTGGCTTGATAAACATTAAGGTTCACTGTAGGATGATTAGCTATACTGACAGACATTATTTTGCGGCACATCTAAGTAGCAGGCTGTGAAAGATTTTCAGAGCAATTTATTCATTATAAAGAAGTATTAGTGAGCTGAGTTTTGTGTGCTACACAGCTTTCTGAGAAGTAAGGTTATGCACCTGTGAAGTCCGGTGAGGAAAATCATGTCAGTGGCTGTGACTGGCCCGATGACTAAACTCCACGGGACGTACTAACACCCCATCACCTTTTACATAGATGACTGAAGAACCTGCCATGTTTTTTTATGGCACAATTTATTTCCTCTTTTCTTTTCTGTTCCTCCAGTGGTTCTCTGCTTTGTACTGATACCACATTTACTGGCTCCTCTATGTTTTCAGCACCTTTCCTGCTTATGTCCACTCATTCTCATTCACTTTGTTTGTTGTCATCTTCAAAATGAAATTCTCATATTATCAGACAAATTTAACAAATGTAAAACTGTAATTCTGTTTGCTACTGATTTTCAATAATGTACTGCAATGGGTTCTAAACATTTCTTTTGTCAGATTTTATTTAAATATATACAAGAGGAGAGAATATAAGTTGTTTGTATATTTTAATTTTAAAGTGAAATGTTTTACTATATCAAAAGGACTCTGTTTGAAGGAAGACTCTTTCATTACCATGTTGCAATGTACAAGTAGTTACTGTCCTTTGAAAATGACCACATTTCTGAGAAAAATCCCTGCCTAGAAAAAAATCTCTGTGGTATAAATGAGCCTCTGATGCATATCTTTGTATTTTCTTGCACTGAAAATATTTACTCAAACTTAAGAAAAGGTTATCAAATATCTTACTGAAATAACTTTGGAGTAAACGCAACTGCAAAGTGTGCAATATGATATTTCTTGATGCCCTTTGATTTTGGAGTGGAGGTTTAGAAATGAAAATGAGGCCAGAGCAATAAAAGACAAATGAAAACTTTGAATGTAATAAAAATTTGCACAGTGTGTAAATGAAAATGTACACTTTCAGCTTAATGACAAAAAAATAACAGTTCCTTTTAGAAACATAGAGAGAGAGAGAAGATGGATGTTTCTGCCACGAAGAGGGAAAAAGAACAGGCCCATAGAAAGGTGCCCAGTATCTCTGGTGACATTGAAGATGCAAATTAAAGCAGTAATACAACATCTGAGAGGTACTAAGGTGGCTCTTCTGGATAAATACAAACATGCAAGAGTCTTGGAAGCATCCAAACAAGTTCATATTTTGTACTTCCTTACTGGAAAAACGAAATAGTGCTATTATCCTATCTCTTTTTTCTGATTGTCTATCTTTCATTTTGAAATGTATATACATAATACGATTCTTGTATGAGATAAATCATATGATATTTTTGCTTCTGAGTCAGTTTTACTTCACTTGACAGTTTGGACTCAAGGTGCATCTGTTGTTTGTCAATTGGCTCAACAATAGAGATATTTGAGCAGGATACATTTCAGGATATATATAAAAAGAAACACAGTGACATGGCAATTCAATCCCCAGTCACAGGCTCCTTCAAATTTAAAGCAGGTACTCAAACCTGCTCTTGTGTGGTAGGATGCACCGAGGTCTCAAGCTGGTGAAGTCCCAGTGTCAACCATGAGGTGAACGGAGATAGGATTTCACATGGATGTTTGACTGGTATTCAGACTTAGATGTACTTGCTGAATGGTACTCTGCCATGACAAGATGGCAAGTATTGACGGAAGATACAACTTGATGAATTTGGATAACTGTGTACACAGGCAAGAAGGCTGACTCAGATGTTCACACCCTGACAGAGGAATGAGGAAACCCAAGTAGGTAAATTCCCAGAGACAGAGCCGAAAAGGGGTTCTCAGAGCAACCACAAGTGTCTTCTTGTGAGCTGGAGTCAGTTTTGCATACTGACTCTCTGGGAGGTATGTGAAGGTCTACACAGCACGTTTAATGTGCAAAGGGTCACTGGACAGTACACTTCACAGGAGTATTTTAATTCTGGTCGAGTTTTACATCAATAAAAATAGCTAGTCAGTAGAAGTGTTCTTCACCTGAAAAGAGTGATTCTTCCATGGAATGGAGAACGTTTTGTGGAAATTTCTTAATTTTTGTGTTTATCAAGATAAAACAGTATACTTCTGGTTAACATACCTTTCATATTTCTGAACAAGTGCTCAGAGTAAAACGGCAGTTGAAATTAAACTGAAAAAAATCTTAAATATAGCTCAAATTTAAGCAAAATGTAAAATTAGTAGTAAAGGTGCACAAGAGACACTACTTTATTTACTCTATGACCTATAAAATGAGGATACCTTTTGCTCCTTTAGTATTGCTTACAATTTGTTCTAATTTTCAGTATCTTTAATCAAACTGGATGAACAGTGGAAACTCACCATGTTTCGTTTGAAGTGTTTCTGCAAAACATATTTTGATGGAATCAGTGAGAGATCATATAAATGCAATCACAAATGATCACAAACTAGCAGTTTTAGAAAAATAAATCAACGTAAGTATTAGTAAATAAAGATAGTGAATGAGATAGTAAATGATAGAGAGACAGTGACATAGGGAGAAACAAGATGATTGACGGATTTTTAAAACTAAGTCTGTATCAAAATCACAAATAGATCCTACTTCGAAAACTTCAAGAAGGAGGGATTACAAAATGATTACAAATAACTGTAGCAAGATTGTAATTAGTTCATAAAATATTATTAAAATTTACCTTTGTCCTTTCTGAGTTGTTCTGAAAATGAAAACATACCGAACTCACAATCAAATAGAAACCAAATCATTCTAATATCACTGATATTCAGTGAGTGCTTTGCAGTGCTCAGCAGACAATTAGTAGATATGCTTGGAAGGGTAACATGAGATTAGAGGCAGGACACATTTCTTGTTTTTTAGAGCTGCTTACTCCATAGGTAGAAGTTAAAGCAAAGCGACTCTCACATCAGTTTGCCATTGTATTTATTAGTTTTTGGCCAGGACCCTGAAGGTACCGGGACACTAATAGAGAGATGCAGATCTTGGCTGTGAGGAAACGCTACCCACACACACTAATGAGAATTTATAAACAAAAAATGGGGAGGAAGTGTGGGAAATAGTGTACCGAAATTTAAATTGTGTATATTCTCAGGGGAAAGGTGAAGTAGTGCTATTTTCTCTGTCTGTCTCTTTCCTATCATTTAGCTTTCTTTTGCTTTTGTGCTTCTATTGAGTTTCCATGGAGGAGAATCCATGTTACGTTTTACCGGAATTATATTACTTATGATTACAGTCTCAGGGTGCATCTATTTCTTTATGGGAGAATCAAAAATACTGGCATTTCATGGGCAAATTTTCAGTGAAATAGACATGCCCCAACATTTCCATTCCCAGTGTGGACTCCTTCAAATGTCAAAGCAAGCCTGAATCACGTAATTGTACAGGATTGTGGATGAAAACAGTATTTACTGTAGCACAAACTGGGAAGAATCCCTAAGTCCATAGGTAAAGGGTTAAAAACCATTGCACATACTCATCCAGTAGAGTGTTATTTACAAAGAAAACTAAAGTACTGGCACACATTGCAACGTGTCAAATGTGGAAAACTCTATACATGTGAAAGTAGGCAGCCGCAAAATGTCATATACTTTGTAGTGTCCTTGATGTGTGGTAAGCCGAGCAGAAGATTCCATAGAAAAAGCAGAATAGTGACTGTCAAAAGCTGAGTTAAGTGTAGGAAAGCAGACCTTACTCCTCATGATGCCCGGAGGGCACTGGCTCCCGCTCTGGGAGCTACAAGCATGTGAGTGGCACAGCCCTGAAGTGTACTGCAAGTTACTGAATGTGTGCTGTAGAGGGCCTGACTCAGCTCACCATGGCTTTCACCTCAATTAAAGCCACTAATCAGTACACACCATCATGAAATGAAATATGAAAGCGTCAACTCAGACAGTGAAGAACTGGCCTAGCTTAAGTACCATAATTTGTAGACATGTGATGCTGAAATATCTTCCTAGTTACCTCTAAACTATCTTTTATTTTCCTGAACTAGTAGTTACAGAAAAATTTGGCAGTTGACAAAACAAATAGCAAATCTTTTAAAACCGATGAATTTAAACAAACAAACAACAACAACAACAACAACAAAAAAAAACTCCTAAATGAGTGTTAGAAGTGTGCCAGAGGCAATGGGGCATTTATCATAAATCTTGAAGATGAAGATTTCCTTCACATCTTTGTTACTGATAAAGTTATGGCTCTATCGGTAATATCCTTATGAGAGGAAATCAAGATTAGAAAAATCACCATTTTCTCTTCTAAGTGCAGTTTCAAAACTAATAAAGAATATTGAGGAAATCAGTGAAGTAATTTACAATTGCAATCAAAAATAATCAAAAAAATAGATGTGGCGAAAAGTGAATTAAGGTTTACAGAAGTAATTAAATATAAATAGAATATTTAAAGGATTTTTGTTATTAAAACAGATAAAAATTATTAACTGATACTCCTAGAACGTAATAACGAATAGCATAAAGATAAAACTGTAGTCATCCCTACCTGTATGAAGGTTGTATTTTGTACTTAAAGTGTTATTAAAACTCACCCTTCTCTTCTTTGAGTTGATCTGATAAAATAAAAACATACAAAAATCACAGTGAAACATAAACGAAGTGATTCTAACGTGATTGATGGTTCTTGAATGCTCCTCTGCACTAGGCTTTATTCAAATGTTTTAAAGGGCATCGTGTTTACCATCTATCATGCTCAGAAACTAAATTAGTAAGCACATGTGGAAGAGTACCACGATATTAGTGGAAGGACACCCGTCTTGTCAATTTTCACAATTTTTGTTCTCGAGTTAAACCTTTCTGAAATGGGAGTCTGACAGTATTTTGCCATTTTATGTATTTATTTCGCAAGGGCCCTGAAGGAACAGTGATGACCTCGATATGTCTGTGAGAGCAGAGTGTGAACCAGACACATACTCTAATATTTCTTTTTGTGGTAGATGAATCTTGTCATCATCTACTACTGTCAAGTGATGATTTTATATAACAAATATTATGCCTCTATAGCACCTGCATAACTCCAAGCTTTATTGAAAAATAGCCTTTCATCTTCCATTACAAACATGTCTTTCCAAAGCTGAGTTGGTGATGCATTAATATCTAGACGTATATTCCCTTCAAGAGAATTTGACACCCTCAGTCTGCGAATGTGGCTTGATAAACATTAAGGTTCACTGTAGGATGATTAGCTATACTGACAGACATTATTTTGCGGCACATCTAAGTAGCAGGCTGTGAAAGATTTTCAGAGCAATTTATTCATTATAAAGAAGTATTAGTGAGCTGAGTTTTGTGTGCTACACAGCTTTCTGAGAAGTAAGGTTATGCACCTGTGAAGTCCGGTGAGGAAAATCATGTCAGTGGCTGTGACTGGCCCGATGACTAAACTCCACGGGACGTACTAACACCCCATCACCTTTTACATAGATGACTGAAGAACCTGCCATGTTTTTTTATGGCACAATTTATTTCCTCTTTTCTTTTCTGTTCCTCCAATGGTTCTCTGCTTTGTACTGATACCTCATTTACTGGCTCCTCTATGTTTTCAGCACCTTTCCTGCTTATGTCCACTCATTCTCTTTCACTTTGTTTGTTGTCATCTTCATAATGAAATTCTCATATTATCAGACAAATTTAAAAAATGTAAAATTATAATTCTGTTTGCTACTGATTTTCAATAATGTACTGCAATGGGTTCTAAACATTTCTTTTTTCAGATTTTATTTAAATATATACAAGGGGAGAGAATATAAGTTGTTTGTATATTTTAATTTTAAAGAGAAATGTTTTACTATATCAAAAGGACTCTGTGTGAAGGAAGACTCTTTCATTACCATGTTGCAATGTACAAGTAGTTAATGTCCTTTGAAAATGACCACATTTCTGAGAAAAATCCCTGCCTAGAAAAAAATCTCTGTGGTATAAATGAGCCTCTGATGCATATCTTTGTATTTTCCTGCACTGAAAATATTTACTCAAACTTAAGAAAACGTTATCAAATATCTTACCGAAATAACTTTGGAGTAAACGCAACTGCAAAGTGTGCAATATGATATTTCTTGATGCCCTTTGATTTTGGAGTGGAGGTTTAGAAATGAAAATGAGGGCAGAGCAATAAAAGACAAATGAAAACTTTGAATGTAATAAAAATTTGCACAGTGTGTAAATGAAAATGTACACTTTCAGCTTAATGACAAAAAAATAACAGTTCCTTTTAGAAACATAGAGAGGGACAGAAGATGGATGTTTCTGCCATGAAGAGGGAAAAAGAACAGGCCCATAGAAAGGTGCCCAGTATCTCTGGTGACATTGAAGATACAAATTAAAGCAGTAATACAGCAACTGAGAGGTACTAAGTTGGCTCTTCTGGATAAATACAAACATGTAAGAGTCTTGGAAGCATCTAAACAAGTTCATATTTTTTAATTCCTTACTGGAAAAACGAAATAGTGCTATTATCCTATCTCTTTTTTTCTGATTGTCTATCTTTCATTTTGAAATGTGTATACATAATACGATTCTTGTATGAGATAAATCATATGATATTTTTGCTTCTGAGTCAATTTTACTTCACTTGACAGTTTGGACTCAAGGTGCATCTGTTGTTCTTCAGTTGGCTCAACAATAGAGATATTTGAGCAGGATACATTTCAGGATATATATAAAAAGAAACACAGTGACATGGCAATTCAATCCCCAGTCACAGGCTCCTTCAAATTTAAAGCAGGTACTCAAACCTGCTCTTGTGTGGTAGGATGCACCGAGGTCTCAAGCTAGTGAAGTCCCAGTGTCAACCATGAGGTGAACGGAGATAGGATTTCACATGGATGTTTGACTGGTATTCAGACTTAGATGTACTTGCTGAATGGTACTCTGCCATGACAAGATGGCAAGTATTGACGGAAGTTACAACTTGATGAATTTGGATAACTGTGTACACAGGCAAGAAGGCTGACTCAGATGTTCACACCCTGACAGAGGAATGAGGAAACCCAAGTAGGTAAATTCCCAGAGACAGAGCCGAAAAGGGGTTCTCAGAGCAACCACAAGTGTCTTCTTGTGAGCTGGAGTCAGTTTTGCATACAGACACTGTGGGAGGTATGTGAAGGTCTACACAGCACGTTTAATGTGCAAAGTGTCACTGAGGGCACACTTCACAGGAGTATTTTAATTCTGGTCGAATTTTACGTCAATCAACATAGCTAGTCAGTAGAAGTGATCTTCAACTGAAAGCAGTGATTCTTCCATGGAATGGAGAACCGTTTTGTGCAAATTTCGTAATTTTTGTGTTTATCAAGATAAAACAGTATACTTCTGGTTAACATACGTTTCATATTTCTGAACAAGTGTTCAGAGTAAAACGGCAGTTGAAATTAAACAGAAAAAAAATCTTAAATATAGCTCAAATTTAAGCAAAATGTAAAATTAGTAGTAAAGGTGCACAAGAGACACTACTTTATTTACTCTATGACCTATAAAATGAGGATACCTTTTGCTCCTTTAGTATTGCTTACAATTTGTTCTAATTTTTAGTATCTTTAATCAAACTGGATGAACAGTGGAAACTCACCATGTTCCGTTTGAAGTGTTTCTGCAAAACATATTTTGATGGAATCAGTGAAAGATCATATAAATGCAATTACAAATGATCAAAAACTAGCAGTTTTAGAAAAATAAATCAACATAAGGATTAGTAAATAAAGATAGTGAATGAGATATTAAATTATAGAGATACAGTGACATAGGGAGAAACAAGATGATTGTCGGATTTTTAAAACTAAGTCTGTATCAAAATCCCAAATACATCCTACTTCGAAAACATCAAGAAGGAGGGATTACAAAATGATTACAAATAACTGTAGCAAGATTGTAATTAGTTCATAAAATATTATTAAAATTTACCTTTGTCCTTTCTGAGTTGTTCTGAAAATGAAAACATACTGAACTCACAATCAAATAGAAACCAAATCATTCTAATATCACTGATATTCAGTGAGTGCTTTGCAGTGCTCAGCAGACAATTAGTAGATATGCTTGGAAGGGTAACATGAGATTAGAGGCAGGACACATTTCTTGTTTTTTAGAGCTGCTTACTCCATAGGTAGAAGTTAAAGCAAAGCGACTCTCACATCAGTTTGCCATTGTATTTATTAGTTTTTGGCCAGGACCCTGAAGGTACCGGGACACTAATAGAGAGATGCAGATCTTGGCTGTGAGGAAACGCTACCCACACACACTAATGAGAATTTATAAACAAAAAATGGGGAGGAAGTGTGGGAAATAGTGTACCGAAATTTAAATTGTGTATATTCTCAGGGGAAAGGTGAAGTAGTGCTATTTTCTCTGTCTGTCTCTTTCCTATCATTTAGCTTTCTTTTGCTTTTGTGCTTCTATTGAGTTTCCATGGAGGAGAATCCATGTGACGTTTTACCGGAATTATATTACTTATGATTACAGTCTCAGGGTGCATCTATTTCTTTATGGGAGAATCAAAAATACTGGCATTTCATGGGCAAATTTTCAGTGAAATAGACATGCCCCAACATTTCCATTCCCAGTGTGGACTCCTTCAAATGTCAAAGCAAGCCTGAATCACGTAATTGTACAGGATTGTGGATGAAAACAGTATTTACTGTAGCACAAACTGGGAAGAATCCCTAAGTCCATAGGTAAAGGGTTAAAAACCATTGCACATACTCATCCAGTAGAGTGTTATTTACAAAGAAAACTAAAGTACTGGCACACATTGCAACGTGTCAAATGTGGAAAACTCTATACATGTGAAAGTAGGCAGCCGCAAAATGTCATATACTTTGTAGTGTCCTTGATGTGTGGTAAGCCGAGCAGAAGATTCCATAGAAAAAGCAGAATAGTGACTGTCAAAAGCTGAGTTAAGTGTAGGAAAGCAGACCTTACTCCTCATGATGCCCGGAGGGCACTGGCTCCCGCTCTGGGAGCTACAAGCATGTGAGTGGCACAGCCCTGAAGTGTACTGCAAGTTACTGAATGTGTGCTGTAGAGGGCCTGACTCAGCTCACCATGGCTTTCACCTCAATTAAAGCCACTAATCAGTACACACCATCATGAAATGAAATATGAAAGCGTCAACTCAGACAGTGAAGAACTGGCCTAGCTTAAGTACCATAATTTGTAGACATGTGATGCTGAAATATCTTCCTAGTTACCTCTAAACTATCTTTTATTTTCCTGAACTAGTAGTTACAGAAAAATTTGGCAGTTGACAAAACAAATAGCAAATCTTTTAAAACCGATGAATTTAAACAAACAAACAACAACAACAACAACAAAAAAAAAAAACTCCTAAATGAGTGTTAGAAGTGTGCCAGAGGCAATGGGGCATTTATCATAAATCTTGAAGATGAAGATTTCCTTCACATCTTTGTTACTGATAAAGTTATGGCTCTATCGGTAATATCCTTATGAGAGGAAATCAAGATTAGAAAAATCACCATTTTCTCTTCTAAGTGCAGTTTCAAAACTAATAAAGAATATTGAGGAAATCAGTGAAGTAATTTACAATTGCAATCAAAAATAATCAAAAAAATAGATGTGGCGAAAAGTGAATTAAGGTTTACAGAAGTAATTAAATATAAATAGAATATTTAAAGGATTTTTGTTATTAAAACAGATAAAAATTATTAACTGATACTCCTAGAACGTAATAACGAATAGCATAAAGATAAAACTGTAGTCATCCCTACCTGTATGAAGGTTGTATTTTGTACTTAAAGTGTTATTAAAACTCACCCTTCTCTTCTTTGAGTTGATCTGATAAAATAAAAACATACAAAAATCACAGTGAAACATAAACGAAGTGATTCTAACGTGATTGATGGTTCTTGAATGCTCCTCTGCACTAGGCTTTATTCAAATGTTTTAAAGGGCATCGTGTTTACCATCTATCATGCTCAGAAACTAAATTAGTAAGCACATGTGGAAGAGTACCACGATATTAGTGGAAGGACACCCGTCTTGTCAATTTTCACAATTTTTGTTCTCGAGTTAAACCTTTCTGAAATGGGAGTCTGACAGTATTTTGCCATTTTATGTATTTATTTCGCAAGGGCCCTGAAGGAACAGTGATGACCTCGATATGTCTGTGAGAGCAGAGTGTGAACCAGACACATACTCTAATATTTCTTTTTGTGGTAGATGAATCTTGTCATCATCTACTACTGTCAAGTGATGATTTTATATAACAAATATTATGCCTCTATAGCACCTGCATAACTCCAAGCTTTATTGAAAAATAGCCTTTCATCTTCCATTACAAACATGTCTTTCCAAAGCTGAGTTGGTGATGCATTAATATCTAGACGTATATTCCCTTCAAGAGAATTTGACACCCTCAGTCTGCGAATGTGGCTTGATAAACATTAAGGTTCACTGTAGGATGATTAGCTATACTGACAGACATTATTTTGCGGCACATCTAAGTAGCAGGCTGTGAAAGATTTTCAGAGCAATTTATTCATTATAAAGAAGTATTAGTGAGCTGAGTTTTGTGTGCTACACAGCTTTCTGAGAAGTAAGGTTATGCACCTGTGAAGTCCGGTGAGGAAAATCATGTCAGTGGCTGTGACTGGCCCGATGACTAAACTCCACGGGACGTACTAACACCCCATCACCTTTTACATAGATGACTGAAGAACCTGCCATGTTTTTTTATGGCACAATTTATTTCCTCTTTTCTTTTCTGTTCCTCCAATGGTTCTCTGCTTTGTACTGATACCTCATTTACTGGCTCCTCTATGTTTTCAGCACCTTTCCTGCTTATGTCCACTCATTCTCTTTCACTTTGTTTGTTGTCATCTTCATAATGAAATTCTCATATTATCAGACAAATTTAAAAAATGTAAAATTATAATTCTGTTTGCTACTGATTTTCAATAATGTACTGCAATGGGTTCTAAACATTTCTTTTTTCAGATTTTATTTAAATATATACAAGGGGAGAGAATATAAGTTGTTTGTATATTTTAATTTTAAAGAGAAATGTTTTACTATATCAAAAGGACTCTGTGTGAAGGAAGACTCTTTCATTACCATGTTGCAATGTACAAGTAGTTAATGTCCTTTGAAAATGACCACATTTCTGAGAAAAATCCCTGCCTAGAAAAAAATCTCTGTGGTATAAATGAGCCTCTGATGCATATCTTTGTATTTTCCTGCACTGAAAATATTTACTCAAACTTAAGAAAACGTTATCAAATATCTTACCGAAATAACTTTGGAGTAAACGCAACTGCAAAGTGTGCAATATGATATTTCTTGATGCCCTTTGATTTTGGAGTGGAGGTTTAGAAATGAAAATGAGGGCAGAGCAATAAAAGACAAATGAAAACTTTGAATGTAATAAAAATTTGCACAGTGTGTAAATGAAAATGTACACTTTCAGCTTAATGACAAAAAAATAACAGTTCCTTTTAGAAACATAGAGAGGGACAGAAGATGGATGTTTCTGCCATGAAGAGGGAAAAAGAACAGGCCCATAGAAAGGTGCCCAGTATCTCTGGTGACATTGAAGATACAAATTAAAGCAGTAATACAGCAACTGAGAGGTACTAAGTTGGCTCTTCTGGATAAATACAAACATGTAAGAGTCTTGGAAGCATCTAAACAAGTTCATATTTTTTAATTCCTTACTGGAAAAACGAAATAGTGCTATTATCCTATCTCTTTTTTTCTGATTGTCTATCTTTCATTTTGAAATGTGTATACATAATACGATTCTTGTATGAGATAAATCATATGATATTTTTGCTTCTGAGTCAATTTTACTTCACTTGACAGTTTGGACTCAAGGTGCATCTGTTGTTCTTCAGTTGGCTCAACAATAGAGATATTTGAGCAGGATACATTTCAGGATATATATAAAAAGAAACACAGTGACATGGCAATTCAATCCCCAGTCACAGGCTCCTTCAAATTTAAAGCAGGTACTCAAACCTGCTCTTGTGTGGTAGGATGCACCGAGGTCTCAAGCTAGTGAAGTCCCAGTGTCAACCATGAGGTGAACGGAGATAGGATTTCACATGGATGTTTGACTGGTATTCAGACTTAGATGTACTTGCTGAATGGTACTCTGCCATGACAAGATGGCAAGTATTGACGGAAGTTACAACTTGATGAATTTGGATAACTGTGTACACAGGCAAGAAGGCTGACTCAGATGTTCACACCCTGACAGAGGAATGAGGAAACCCAAGTAGGTAAATTCCCAGAGACAGAGCCGAAAAGGGGTTCTCAGAGCAACCACAAGTGTCTTCTTGTGAGCTGGAGTCAGTTTTGCATACAGACACTGTGGGAGGTATGTGAAGGTCTACACAGCACGTTTAATGTGCAAAGTGTCACTGAGGGCACACTTCACAGGAGTATTTTAATTCTGGTCGAATTTTATGTCAATCAACATAGCTAGTCAGTAGAAGTGATCTTCAACTGAAAGCAGTGATTCTTCCATGGAATGGAGAACCGTTTTGTGCAAATTTCGTAATTTTTGTGTTTATCAAGATAAAACAGTATACTTCTGGTTAACATACGTTTCATATTTCTGAACAAGTGTTCAGAGTAAAACGGCAGTTGAAATTAAACAGAAAAAAAATCTTAAATATAGCTCAAATTTAAGCAAAATGTAAAATTAGTAGTAAAGGTGCACAAGAGACACTACTTTATTTACTCTATGACCTATAAAATGAGGATACCTTTTGCTCCTTTAGTATTGCTTACAATTTGTTCTAATTTTTAGTATCTTTAATCAAACTGGATGAACAGTGGAAACTCACCATGTTCCGTTTGAAGTGTTTCTGCAAAACATATTTTGATGGAATCAGTGAAAGATCATATAAATGCAATTACAAATGATCAAAAACTAGCAGTTTTAGAAAAATAAATCAACATAAGGATTAGTAAATATAGATAGTGAATGAGATATTAAATTATAGAGATACAGTGACATAGGGAGAAACAAGATGATTGTCGGATTTTTAAAACTAAGTCTGTATCAAAATCCCAAATACATCCTACTTCGAAAACATCAAGAAGGAGGGATTACAAAATGATTACAAATAACTGTAGCAAGATTGTAATTAGTTCATAAAATATTATTAAAATTTACCTTTGTCCTTTCTGAGTTGTTCTGAAAATGAAAACATACTGAACTCACAATCAAATAGAAACCAAATCATTCTAATATCACTGATATTCAGTGAGTGCTTTGCAGTGCTCAGCAGACAATTAGTAGATATGCTTGGAAGGGTAACATGAGATTAGAGGCAGGACACATTTCTTGTTTTTTAGAGCTGCTTACTCCATAGGTAGAAGTTAAAGCAAAGCGACTCTCACATCAGTTTGCCATTGTATTTATTAGTTTTTGGCCAGGACCCTGAAGGTACCGGGACACTAATAGAGAGATGCAGATCTTGGCTGTGAGGAAACGCTACCCACACACACTAATGAGAATTTATAAACAAAAAATGGGGAGGAAGTGTGGGAAATAGTGTACCGAAATTTAAATTGTGTATATTCTCAGGGGAAAGGTGAAGTAGTGCTATTTTCTCTGTCTGTCTCTTTCCTATCATTTAGCTTTCTTTTGCTTTTGTGCTTCTATTGAGTTTCCATGGAGGAGAATCCATGTGACGTTTTACCGGAATTATATTACTTATGATTACAGTCTCAGGGTGCATCTATTTCTTTATGGGAGAATCAAAAATACTGGCATTTCATGGGCAAATTTTCAGTGAAATAGACATGCCCCAACATTTCCATTCCCAGTGTGGACTCCTTCAAATGTCAAAGCAAGCCTGAATCACGTAATTGTACAGGATTGTGGATGAAAACAGTATTTACTGTAGCACAAACTGGGAAGAATCCCTAAGTCCATAGGTAAAGGGTTAAAAACCATTGCACATACTCATCCAGTAGAGTGTTATTTACAAAGAAAACTAAAGTACTGGCACACATTGCAACGTGTCAAATGTGGAAAACTCTATACATGTGAAAGTAGGCAGCCGCAAAATGTCATATACTTTGTAGTGTCCTTGATGTGTGGTAAGCCGAGCAGAAGATTCCATAGAAAAAGCAGAATAGTGACTGTCAAAAGCTGAGTTAAGTGTAGGAAAGCAGACCTTACTGCTCATGATGCCCGGAGGGCACTGGCTCCCGCTCTGGGAGCTACAAGCATGTGAGTGGCACAGCCCTGAAGTGTACTGCAAGTTACTGAATGTGTGCTGTAGAGGGCCTGACTCAGCTCACCATGGCTTTCACCTCAATTAAAGCCACTAATCAGTACACACCATCATGAAATGAAATATGAAAGCGTCAACTCAGACAGTGAAGAACTGGCCTAGCTTAAGTACCATAATTTGTAGACATGTGATGCTGAAATATCTTCCTAGTTACCTCTAAACTATCTTTTATTTTCCTGAACTAGTAGTTACAGAAAAATTTGGCAGTTGACAAAACAAATAGCAAATCTTTTAAAACCGATGAATTTAAACAAACAAACAACAACAACAACAACAACAAAAAAAAACTCCTAAATGAGTGTTAGAAGTGTGCCAGAGGCAATGGGGCATTTATCATAAATCTTGAAGATGAAGATTTCCTTCACATCTTTGTTACTGATAAAGTTATGGCTCTATCGGTAATATCCTTATGAGAGGAAATCAAGATTAGAAAAATCACCATTTTCTCTTCTAAGTGCAGTTTCAAAACTAATAAAGAATATTGAGGAAATCAGTGAAGTAATTTACAATTGCAATCAAAAATAATCAAAAAAATAGATGTGGCGAAAAGTGAATTAAGGTTTACAGAAGTAATTAAATATAAATAGAATATTTAAAGGATTTTTGTTATTAAAACAGATAAAAATTATTAACTGATACTCCTAGAACGTAATAATGAATAACATAAAGATAAAACTGTAGTCATCCCTACCTGTATGAAGGTTGTATTTTGTACTTAAAGTGTTATTAAAACTCACCCTTCTCTTCTTTGAGTTGATCTGATAAAATAAAAACATACAAAAATCACAGTGAAACATAAACGAAGTGATTCTAACGTGATTGATGGTTCTTGAATGCTCCTCTGCACTAGGCTTTATTCAAATGTTTTAAAGGGCATCGTGTTTACTATCTATCATGCTCAGAAACTAAATTAGTAAGCACATGTGGAAGAGTACCACGAGATTAGAGGAAGGACACCTGTTTGTTAATTTTCACAATTTTTGTTCTCGAGTTAAACCTTTCTGAAATGGGAGTCTGACAGTATTTTGCCATTTTATGTATTTATTTCGCAAGGGCCCTGAAGGAACAGTGATGACCTCGATATGTCTGTGAGAGCAGAGTGTGAACCAGACACATACTCTAATATTTCTTTTTGTGGTAGATGAATCTTGTCATCATCTACTACTGTCAAGTGATGATTTTATATAACAAATAATATGCCTCTATAGCACCTGCATTACTCCAAACTTTATTGAAAAATAGCCTTTCATCTTCCATTACAAACATGTCTTTCCAAAGCTGAATTGATGATGCATTAATATCTAGACGTATATTCCCACCAAGAGAATTTGACACCCTCAGTCTGCGAATGTGGCTTGATAAACATTAAGGTTCACTGTAGGATGATTAGCTATACTGACAGACATTATTTTGCGGCACATCTAAGTAGCAGGCTGTGAAAGATTTTCAGAGCAATTTATTCATTATAAAGAAGTATTAGTGAGCTGAGTTTTGTGTGCTACACAGCTTTCTGAGAAGTAAGGTTATGCACCTGTGAAGTCCGGTGAGGAAAATCATGTCAGTGGCTGTGACTGGCCCGATGACTAAACTCCACGGGACGTACTAACACCCCATCACCTTTTACATAGATGACTGAAGAACCTGCCATGTTTTTTTTATGGCACAATTTATTTCCTCTTTTCTTTTCTGTTCCTCCAGTGGTTCTCTGCTTTGTACTGATACCACATTTACTGGCTCCTCTATGTTTTCAGCACCTTTCCTGCTTATGTCCACTCATTCTCATTCACTTTGTTTGTTGTCATCTTCAAAATGAAATTCTCATATTATCAGACAAATTTAACAAATGTAAAACTATAATTCTGTTTGCTACTGATTTTCAATAATGTACTGCAATGGGTTCTAAACATTTCTTTTGTCAGATTTTATTTAAATATATACAAGAGGAGAGAATATAAGTTGTTTGTATATTTTAATTTTAAAGTGAAATGTTTTACTATATCAAAAGGGCTCTGTGTGAAGGAAGACTCTTTCATTACCATGTTGCAATGTACAAGTAGTTACTGTCCTTTGAAAATGACCACATTTCTGAGAAAAATCCCTGCCTAGAAAAAAATCTCTGTGGTATTAATGAGCCTCTGATGCATATCTTTGTATTTTCTTGCACTGAAAATATTTACTCAAACTTAAGAAAAGGTTATCAAATATCTTCCCGAAATAACTTTGGAGTAAACGCAACTGCAAAGTGTGCAATATGATATTTCTTGATGCCCTTTGATTTTGGAGTGGAGGTTTAGAAATGAAAATGAGGCCAGAGCAATAAAAGACAAATGAAAACTTTGAATGTAATAAAAATTTGCACAGTGTGTAAATGAAAATGTACACTTTCAGCTTAATGACAAAAAAATAACAGTTCCTTTTAGAAACATAGAAGAGAGAGAAGATGGATGTTTCTGCCACGAAGAGGGAAAAAGAACAGGCCCATAGAAAGGTGCCCAGTATCTCTGGTGACATTGAAGATGCAAATTAAAGCAGTAATACAACATCTGAGAGGTACTAAGGTGGCTCTTCTGGATAAATACAAACATGCAAGAGTCTTGGAAGCATCCAAACAAGTTCATATTTTGTACTTCCTTACTGGAAAAACGAAATAGTGCTATTATCCTATCTCTTTTTTTCTGATTGTCTATCTTTCATTTTGAAATGTGTATACATAATACGATTCTTGTATGAGATAAATCATATGATATTTTTGCTTCTGAGTCAGTTTTACTTCACTTGACAGTTTGGACTCAAGGTGCATCTGTTGTTTGTCAATTGGCTCAACAATAGAGATATTTGAGCAGGATACATTTCAGGATATATATAAAAAGAAACACAGTGACATGGCAATTCAATCCCCAGTCACAGGCTCCTTCAAATTTAAAGCAGGTACTCAAACCTGCTCTTGTGTGGTAGGATGCACCGAGGTCTCAAGCTAGTGAAGTCCCAGTGTCAACCATGAGGTGAACGGAGATAGGATTTCACATGGATGTTTGACTGGTATTCAGACTTAGATGTACTTGCTGAATGGTACTCTGCCATGACAAGATGGCAAGTATTGACGGAAGTTACAACTTCATGAATTTGGATAACTGTGTACACAGGCAAGAAGGCTGACTCAGATGTTCACACCCTGACAGAGGAATGAGGAAACCCAAGTAGGTAAATTCCCAGAGACAGAGCCGAAAAGGGGTTCTCAGAGCAACCACAAGTGTCTTCTTGTGAGCTGGAGTCAGTTTTGCATACTGACTCTCTGGGAGGTATGTGAAGGTCTACACAGCACGTTTAATGTGCAAAGTGTCACTGGACAGTACACTTCACAGAAGTATTTTAATTCTGGTCGAGTTTTACATCAATAAAAATAGCTAGTCAGTAGAAGTGTTCTTCACCTGAAAAGAGTGATTCTTCCATGGAATGGAGAACGTTTTGTGGAAATTTCTTAATTTTTGTGTTTATCAAGATAAAACAGTATACTTCTGGTTAACATACCTTTCATATTTCTGAACAAGTGCTCAGAGTAAAACGGCAGTTGAAATTAAACTGAAAAAAATCTTAAATATAGCTCAAATTTAAGCAAAATGTAAAATTAGTAGTAAAGGTGCACAAGAGACACTACTTTATTTACTCTATGACCTATAAAATGAGGATACCTTTTGCTCCTTTACTATTGCTTACAATTTGTTCTAATTTTCAGTATCTTTAATCAAACTGGATGAACAGTGGAAACTCACCATGTTTCGTTTGAAGTGTTTCTGCAAAACATATTTTGATGGAATCAGTGAGAGATCATATAAATGCAATCACAAATGATCACAAACTAGCAGTTTTAGAAAAATAAATCAACGTAAGTATTAGTAAATAAAGATAGTGAATGAGATAGTAAATGATAGAGAGACAGTGACATAGGGAGAAACAAGATGATTGACGGATTTTTAAAACTAAGTCTGTATCAAAATCACAAATAGATCCTACTTCGAAAACTTCAAGAAGGAGGGATTACAAAATGATTACAAATAACTGTAGCAAGATTGTAATTAGTTCATAAAATATTATTAAAATTTACCTTTGTCCTTTCTGAGTTGTTCTGAAAATGAAAACATACCGAACTCACAATCAAATAGAAACCAAATCATTCTAATATCACTGATATTCAGTGAGTGCTTTGCAGTGCTCAGCAGACAATTAGTAGATATGCTTGGAAGGGTAACATGAGATTAGAGGCAGGACACATTTCTTGTTTTTTAGAGCTGCTTACTCCATAGGTAGAAGTTAAAGCAAAGCGACTCTCACATCAGTTTGCCATTGTATTTATTAGTTTTTGGCCAGGACCCTGAAGGTACCGGGACACTAATAGAGAGATGCAGATCTTGGCTGTGAGGAAATGCTACCCACACACACTAATGAGAATTTATAAACAAAAAATGGGGAGGAAGTGTGGGAAATAGTGTACCGAAATTTAAATTGTGTATATTCTCAGGGGAAAGGTGAAGTAGTGCTATTTTCTCTGTCTGTCTCTTTCCTATCATTTAGCTTTCTTTTGCTTTTGTGCTTCTATTGAGTTTCCATGGAGGAGAATCCATGTGACGTTTTACCAGAATTATATTACTTTTGATTACAGTCTCAGGGTGCATCTATTTCTTTATGGGAGAATCAAAAGTACTGGCATTTCATGGGCAAATTTTCAGTGAAATAGACATGCCCCAACATTTCCATTCCCAGTGTGGACTCCTTCAAATGTCAAAGCAAGCCTGAATCACGTAATTGTACAGGATTGTGGATGAAAACAGTATTTACTGTAGCACAAACTGCTAAGAATCCCTAAGTCCATAGGTAAAGGGTTAAAAACAATTGCACATACTCATCCAGTAGAGTGTTATTTACAAAGAAAACTAAAGTACTGGCACACATTACAACGTGTCAAATGTGGAAAACTCTATACATGTGAAAGTAGGCAGCCACAAAATGTCATATACTTTGTAGTGTCCTTGATGTGTGGTAAGCCGAGCAGAAGATTCCATAGAAAAAGCAGAATAGTGACTGTCAAAGGCTGAGTTAAGTGTAGGAAAGCAGACCTGACTGCTCATGATGCCCGGAGTGCACCGGCTCCCGCTCTGGGATCTACAAGCATGTGAGTGGCACAGCCCTGAAGTGTACTGCAAGTTACTGAATGTGTGCTGTAGAGGGCCTGACTCAGCTCACCATGGTTTCACCTCAACTAAAGCCACTAATCAGTACATGCCATCATGAAATGAAATATGAAAGCGTCAACTCAGACAGTGAAGAACTGGCCTAGCTTAAGTACCATAATTTGTAGACATGTGATGCTGAAATATCTTCCTAGTTACCTCTAAACTATCTTTTGCTTTCCTGAACTAGTAGTTACAGAAAAATTTGGCAGTTGACAAAACAAATAGCAAATCTTTTAAAACAGATGAATTTAAACAACAACAAGAAAAAAAAAAAAACCAAAAAAAAAAAAAAAAAAAAAAAAAAAAAAAAAAAAAACCTCCTAAATGAGTGTTAGAAGTGTGCCAGAGGCAATGGGGCATTTATCATAAATCTTGAAGATGAAGATTTCCTTCACATCTTTGTTACTGATAAAGTTATGGCTCTATCGGTAATATCCTTATGAGAGGAAATCAAGATTAGAAAAATCACCATTTTCTCTTAAGTGCAGGTTCAAAACTAATAAAGAATATTGAGGAAATCAGTGAAGTAATTTACAATTGCAATCAAAAATGATCAAAAAATAGATGTGGCGAAAAGTGAATTAAGGTTTACAGAAGTAATTTAATATAAATAGAATATTTAAAGGATTTTAGTTATTAAAATAGATAAAAATTACTAACTGATACTCCGAGAACGTAGTAATGAATAGCATAAAGATAAAACTGTAGTCATCCATACCTGTAAGAAGGTTGTATTTTGTACTTAAAGTGTTATTAAAACTCACCCTTCTCTTCTTTGAGTTGATCTGATAAAATAAAAACATACAAAAATCACAGTGAAACATAAACGAAGTGATTCTAATGTGATTGATAGTTCTTGAATGCTCCTCTGCACCAGGCTTTATTCAAATGTTTTAAAGGGCATCGTGTTTACCATCTACCATGCTCAGAAACTAAATTAGTAAGCACATGTGGAAGAGTACCACGATATTAGTGGAAGGACACCCGTCTTGTCAATTTTCACAATTTCTTGTTCCCGAGTTAAACCTTTCTGAAATGGGAGTCTGACAGTATTTTGCCATTTTATGTATTTATTTCGCAAGGGCCCTGAAGGAACAGTGATGACCTCGATATGTCTGTGAGAGCAGAGTGTGAACCAGACACATACTCTAATATTTCTTTTTGTGGTAGATGAATCTTGTCATCATCTACTACTGTCAAGTGATGATTTTATATAACAAATATTATGCCTCTATAGCACCTGCATAACTCCAAGCTTTATTGAAAAATAGCCTTTCATCTTCCATTACAAACATGTCTTTCCAAAGCTGAGTTGGTGATGCATTAATATCTAGACGTATATTCCCTTCAAGAGAATTTGACACCCTCAGTCTGCGAATGTGGCTTGATAAACATTAAGGTTCAGTGTAGGATGATTAGCTATACTGACAGACATTATTTTGCGGCACATCTAAGTAGCAGGCTGTGAAAGATTTTCAGAGCAATTTATTCATTATAAAGAAGTATTAGTGAGCTGAGTTTTGTGTGCTACACAGCTTTCTGAGAAGTAAGGTTATGCACCTGTGAAGTCCGGTGAGGAAAATCATGTCAGTGGCTGTGACTGCCCCGATGACTAAACTCCACGGGACGTACTAACACCCCATCACCTTTTACATAGATGACTGAAGAACCTGCCATGTTTTTTTATGGCACAATTTATTTCCTCTTTTCTTTTCTGTTCCTCCAGTGGTTCTCTGCTTTGTACTGATACCACAGTTACTGGCTCCTCTATGTTTTCAGCACCTTTCCTGCTTATGTCCACTCATTCTCATTCACTTTGTTTGTTGTCATCTTCAAAATGAAATTCTCATATTATCAGACAAATTTAACAAATGTAAAACTATAATTCTGTTTGCTACTGATTTTCAATAATGTACTGCAATGGGTTCTAAACATTTCTTTTGTCAGATTTTATTTAAATATATACAAGAGGAGAGAATATAAGTTGTTTGTATATTTTAATTTTAAAGTGAAATGTTTTACTATATCAAAAGGACTCTGTTTGAAGGAAGACTCTTTCATTACCATGTTGCAATGTACAAGTAGTTACTGTCCTTTGAAAATGACCACATTTCTGAGAAAAATCCCTGCCTAGAAAAAAATCTCTGTGGTATAAATGAGCCTCTGATGCATATCTTTGTATTTTCTTGCACTGAAAATATTTACTCAAACTTAAGAAAAGGTTATCAAATATCTTACTGAAATAACTTTGGAGTAAACGCAACTGCAAAGTGTGCAATATGATATTTCTTGATGCCCTTTGATTTTGGAGTGGAGGTTTAGAAATGAAAATGAGGCCAGAGCAATAAAAGACAAATGAAAACTTTGAATGTAATAAAAATTTGCACAGTGTGTAAATGAAAATGTACACTTTCAGCTTAATGACAAAAAAATAACAGTTCCTTTTAGAAACATAGAGAGAGAGAGAAGATGGATGTTTCTGCCACGAAGAGGGAAAAAGAACAGGCCCATAGAAAGGTGCCCAGTATCTCTGGTGACATTGAAGATGCAAATTAAAGCAGTAATACAACATCTGAGAGGTACTAAGGTGGCTCTTCTGGATAAATACAAACATGCAAGAGTCTTGGAAGCATCCAAACAAGTTCATATTTTGTACTTCCTTACTGGAAAAACGAAATAGTGCTATTATCCTATCTCTTTTTTCTGATTGTCTATCTTTCATTTTGAAATGTATATACATAATACGATTCTTGTATGAGATAAATCATATGATATTTTTGCTTCTGAGTCAGTTTTACTTCACTTGACAGTTTGGACTCAAGGTGCATCTGTTGTTTGTCAATTGGCTCAACAATAGAGATATTTGAGCAGGATACATTTCAGGATATATATAAAAAGAAACACAGTGACATGGCAATTCAATCCCCAGTCACAGGCTCCTTCAAATTTAAAGCAGGTACTCAAACCTGCTCTTGTGTGGTAGGATGCACCGAGGTCTCAAGCTAGTGAAGTCCCAGTGTCAACCATGAGGTGAACGGAGATAGGATTTCACATGGATGTTTGACTGGTATTCAGACTTAGATGTACTTGCTGAATGGTACTCTGCCATGACAAGATGGCAAGTATTGACGGAAGATACAACTTGATGAATTTGGATAACTGTGTACACAGGCAAGAAGGCTGACTCAGATGTTCACACCCTGACAGAGGAATGAGGAAACCCAAGTAGGTAAATTCCCAGAGACAGAGCCGAAAAGGGGTTCTCAGAGCAACCACAAGTGTCTTCTTGTGAGCTGGAGTCAGTTTTGCATACTGACTCTCTGGGAGGTATGTGAAGGTCTACACAGCACGTTTAATGTGCAAAGGGTCACTGGACAGTACACTTCACAGGAGTATTTTAATTCTGGTCGAGTTTTACATCAATAAAAATAGCTAGTCAGTAGAAGTGTTCTTCACCTGAAAAGAGTGATTCTTCCATGGAATGGAGAACGTTTTGTGGAAATTTCTTAATTTTTGTGTTTATCAAGATAAAACAGTATACTTCTGGTTAACATACCTTTCAT